GCTTTATGTTTCGTAGATAATGCAGAGGCCTTGTCAGATTAGGGCTTTGGGGGATAACGGACAACGCAGTATAATTCTAAGGACTCTTTGGGATTGCGACCACAATTTAAGTGCGAAAAAGCTTTTCGGGACCAACATATAGTGTAATTATGAGGATGTCAAGACAAGACTATTTTTTTGATTGGAATACGGCTTTGGTGATAATCGAGTACATTCACCAGGACTGTGAATGAAGACTACTACCAGTATTCCGACCCTTGTAGCAGAACCCCGATAGAATGCACATGGAACTCTTATAGGCAACCGCAACGCCTTATAGAAGCTCTGTAGTACCCTCATACTTGGAGGTTCATGGGTAGTTATACGTGGGGTTATAAGTAGGGTAACTGCAGTTATAACCCGTATTAGGAGACTGATAACCCCACTTATAACCACCCATGAACCTCCAAGTAGAACCCGTATATTGCCAGCATTCCAGTCTGCTGGCTTCGGTTTCCAAGCTCAGTTGCATAATGAGACCCAAGAGTAACCTAGGAATAAAAAGGGTGCGCTTTTTGGTTTAAAGGGGTCCAAAAGTGAACCTGAACCTTTAAAACAGGGAATAACGACCTACTCTGGGTCCTAGATAACGAGAGGACGAGGTTTCTACAACAAGGTTCTAGGGTTTGGTGGTTGAAGGATTTCAGTAGGGCTTTAGCGGTTTAGATGCTTGGAGTTTGGGCACAAGTTTTGCAGCAAGGGTGATGAATGGCCAAGCACTGCCGATAGCCAGCACTAAAAAGCTGCTGAAATCGTAATCACTGCCGCTATGCAAAGCAACAGTAACAGTTGCAACAACAATGAACATGATAGCAGTGCGAAACAACACCGGTAAAAAACTGTCAACTATAACTGCTAAGGTCTGACTGATTTAGGCTCGGAGGTATCATAAACTTTTTCTTTTCCCGTAACTGACGCTCCTGACGGGAAATCTTGTGGCGAAAAGCCGGCTCTACTCGCCGGATTCTGTTCATGAGTCGCCTGGAGCTTGAGCGATCGCTTTCCGGATTTCTCACGGGTGAGGTTTAGGTTGAGGGTTTAGGGGTTTAGGGTTCCGGGTACTAATGTTGATGGAGACTTCCCGAATGTGGAGCATTATGGAGTTGTGATCTAAAACACAGTTGGCACATGATTAAGACCCTTTGTGAAATTAGCAAGGTCCCAATGGCCTGCCTGGAGAGCCCAACCGAAAAGCTCGCTAGTCAAGCGCGCAACTTTACAAACGTAGGTAAACATGGGTGCCCAAAGACTCCAACATCCTTGAATCAAGGATTCCACCTTCAGGCGGAGTCTGTTTACTGACTTTTCCCTGGACGCAGGCTGTTGGAGTCTCTGGCTGGCCTGGAAGTAGTTCGCCCTACGGCCTTCCCCAAGGCAGCACGGCATCGTGTAGTTGAAAGCCTTCTAGAAGGAACAAAACCTTCAGAGACCAAGCGGACCTGGAGAAGCAGAATTGAAAGCCTACTTCACAGTATTACAGAAACCCCCAAATCAGCGACTTCTTACATGACCTGAATAAAGAAAGCCTAAACCCTAAACGCTCAGAAGCCAGGGTTCTGTGGTAAACCCTAACCCACAGAGTGTGGACTTGGCCTGGTTGTGCAATAAAACCAGCTGCCTTTCATTGGTAGTTGTAAGTATAGGGTCAGAAGTCCCTCAGGAAGGGTCATATATATATATATATATATATATATATATACAATTACCCTACTTACAATCCCACTTGCCCATGACCGCAGAAGTATGGACTCTCATTCTCTCTCTCTCTCTCTCTCCCTCTCTCTCGCTCCCTCTCTCTCTCTCTCTCTGTCTGTCTCTCTCTCTCTCTCTCTCTCTCTCTCTCTCTGGCATCCTAGTGTTCATTGAAGCCTTAGCGAAAGGGTGTTTCTTAATCAGGGGTCAACCTTGACCCCCAGGATGGAACGCTTCAAACTCTTACAGCATCCTGTAAAACCTAGCCTGTAGCCCCAAACCCTACGAAATAGTAGGCTATGACCCCGGGCACAACCCCTTAAACAGTATATAGGTGTTGGATCCCTGAAGTAAACCCTATTATCTCCCTACGTGAAACCCTACATATCCGCATATCCAGCCCTTTATGTCCCTACATAAGCCCTGTATATATCCGTACATTAAACCGTATGTATCCGCATGTTTAGGGCTCGAAAAAGCACATAAGCAAAACTAAGGATGGGGATATCCCATCTAAATCCCCTTATAATGAAGCCCAAAAGGGTAGGGATATCCCCCTATAAAATGCTTATGCTATCTTATGCTTATGTGCTTTTTGGGTCCCTAACAATACGAAGGCAGGTCCTCTGGTCCCAGTGAAAGCAAGCAAGAGTTAGTCGTGTCACTCCAACCGAAGCTCTCCTGCGCTCCCCCCAAAAAGGCGGGAAACGGTTTACGAGCTGAGGGTCGAGAGTTCAGGGTTCAGGGTTTTGTGGATGTTGTACGTGGAGGTTCATGGGTAGTTATAAGTAGGGTTACAAGTAGGGTAACTCTGCTCATAACCCGTATTAAGGGACTTAAAGCTCCACTTGTAACTACCCATGAACCTCCAAGTAGTATCAGCGTATTGTCAGGTCCAAAACGGGATCACACCCTAGTTAAATTCCGACTTATATACCTGCAAGGGACCCTGGGCTGTGCTGTGCCCCGTTGAGGGGATCGCACCACCTACCCTAAGGCTCCATGTACCCATATAGTATATACTTAGGGCTTAAAGGGGCTCCTATATGAGTACTTTAGGGCCTTAGAGGGTATAAGTATATGCTATATGGCTACATGAAGGCTTTGGGCTACTGCCCCAGGGTTAGTACTTGGAGGGTCGGGGGATTTAGTAACTGCTTATTTTAGGGACTTATAAGTACCATAACCCCAATTAGGGTCCCTTTTAGGGTACTTATAAGTCTACTTACTACCTACTTACTAAGTCCCCCGACCCTCCAAGTACAGGCTGAAACAACTGTCTGGCTTTTCGGGTGAGGTATACAAGCAAAAGCAATATCGTATGCTAGAAACAGACAAGTACAACATTGTGACACTAAACAACCTACTTGGAGGTTCATGGGTAGTTATAAGTGGAGTCATAAGTCCCCTAATATGGGTTATAAGTACAGCTACCCTACTTGTAGTTGTAGCCCCACCTATAACATGAACCTCCAAGTAGGACAAATCCACGGAAAGGTGGGGGAGGACAGGGGTTCAGACCGAAAAGATCACCCAACACCTTTGCTACTTAGAGGCCCAGGGGAAATAGAAAGTAGGCTATAAGTGGAGTTAGAAGTACCCTAAGTGGAGCTACCCCAATTATAGCCATACTTATAACCGACTTACTAAGTCCCCTGGGCCTCCAAGTATAGGGGCTGCAGTAAGCAGAATCGGGCTTTGGCTACGGCAGTATAAATGCAAAGGGTTACACGATACTGCTACTTATCAATCCGACCCCAAGAGTATAGTGCATATTTTTCATAAAGACCGCACCGCCATGCCGAACCACACTCAACGACAAATAGGAACACCCTGAACATTCATGCGTTTCGTCTTCAGGGAGCAGTTTTCGAAACTCTCATCCCGAAGCCCTAAATCCTAAACCCGCGACACTCATTCCTTCATCCTGTATCTGGATGCCTGCAGGGGGTGCATTCTAGCAACTGTCTGGGGACAATTAAGGGTCACTACTACAGATGATAAGACCTCGGAGTTATAGTAACCTCTAGGTTCCTGAGTAGGTCCATTATAATACAGGTACCCTTTTTCCTACTATTCTTAGAGCCCATTACAGGTGGGTAGTTCCTCTTCCATAGTACTCCCATAAGACCCCTTTACCTTATAGGAGTGGTATGGAAGGCTTATGGGAGACTACCCACCTTAAAACTACCCACCTGTAAATGGCTTAGATATTCGGTTTTGACAAGAGGACACCAAACTAAAACGGACAAAAAGGTACCACTCAAGAACCTAGACCCAATCCTTTTGACATCATCCCCCTCGGTACTACCACCTTAGTCATCTGGTCCTGGCCGTCATTGTGCCAGCGAGCGGCGCAGCTTTGAAAAGACTATGCCTGACAGCATCGACAGCAAACGACGTTTTTTTCCGTGGAGCCCAGGACAGGGGCCCTCATTATCGAGGCTGTGCTTTTTCAGTGGTTTTGTATGCTTGCAATATACTACGGAGCCCGAAAAAGATCCTTAATTTAGGGTTCCTAGGTTCCTGCGTAGCCCCTTCATAATAAGGGAACCCCTTTTCCTGCTGTTGGGTTGTTAACAAGGGAGCCCGAAAAAAAGGGCAAAAAGGTATCACTCAGGAACCTAGTGCCCTCCTAAACCCTAAGCCCTAAACCTGAAGCACCAAAGCCCAAAACCCTATAAGTCCTACACCCGAAACTCTGAGCCCTAAACCCTAAGTACCAAGTCCGAAACCCTAAGGCCTAAACCCTAAACCAGGAGTTCAGGTTCTCAGGCCAAGTAGAGTTTGGATCCTCTATAGAGGATAGAATCGGATTTTCAGGGCTCCTTACTACAACTGTCGTATAAGATACCACCCCAACCCTAGTCCATGTACGAAGGCCCATAGATTAGAAGCTTATAGAAACGGGTGTCTTTAGCGGCTCAGGCTCACTTTTATTCTCAAAATGTTGCGCAAGGTGCGTTTAAGGGCATTGCATACAGGCTTTCTGAGAGATGCTGCATCTATGTTGAATCCATTTCATACCGCCTGCATGGGCTTGTGCATTTTTGCTTGGATTAGGTCTGGAGGATCAGGGCGCTTAGCAAGAAGGGCGATACTCGAGATACCCTGAAATCCCGAAACCCTAAACCCTGAACCCCGAAACCCCAACCCGCAAACCCCAAACCAAACCCTAAACCCTAAGCCCCGAACTTCGTGCAACCCGGGACGCATAGCTTAAACCCCAAACCAAACCCTAAACCCCAAAACTTCTTGCAACCCGGGACTTATTCGGTGTCCTTATTGGCGCTTGGCATGGACGACTGTACGGGTGCACCGACAACCACTGGTGCCGCCACCTGCCCGCATGGAACCCGTTGTTCCCACTTGGAGGCTCATGGGTAACTATAAGCGGGTGGTTGTCAAAATTATGGTCCCTTTTCGGGAACCCTAAATATTAGGTGCCGTACGATATTAGGGACCCAAAAAGGTGCCATAATTTTGACAACCATCCAAGTGGGGTTCAGGGTTTGAGGCTTCTGGTACTGGGTTCATGGGTAATTAAATAAGTAGGGTAACTCTCATGCATAACCTTTCAGAAAGGAATATACCTTACAGTATAGTAGCGTTATAGGGTTCTCGGTATTGTTGTTTAAGAAAAATTCAAGGGGTATTGAGCTCTCTGGGAAGGCTTCGAGGGTTCAACATTAGCCACAAGTAACCTGCGTCTTTATAAGGGCTTACACACGTAGACTATGATAAGGATCCCTAAAAGATAGGTATTGCGGAATCCAGGTAAGGCATTGGATTTGGGCTTAGCACTTGGGAGTCTCCGAAAATAGGGGACCCTAATATAGTACCTTAAATAGTAGGATCCGTATCATACGGACCCCCAACCTAAAAGGGTCCATGGACTCATATCGTAAATACCCTGAGGGTCCCCTTACGGGTTCCTTTATGGCCTCTTTTAAGGGTTTGTTTAAGGGTTCCATAAGGGTTCTATAGGGTTCAGGGTATAAGGGTCCATGTACCCAAATAGTATGCATTGGCCTTAAAGTACTCCCTCTATAGGTACATTGGGCCCAAGGTATATACTATTTGGGTACATTGACCCTTAGGGATCCTGCTGCGTCTGCATGAGTAACTTTTTTCGGATCCCAAAAGACGAACACAGTTAGTGAAAGCTGCCCATCTGCTTCTAATATGCGTCAACTACTGCAACGGCGACAGCATAGACTGATACACTTGTTTTGATGAGCTGGCTCTTGTAATAAGGAAGCCATGCGACAGCCAATCTTCATGTCTCTTCTTCAATGGCAGCGCCCAACACGGGTTCATACTTTCTAGGATGGACCAAACGCATAGGGCAACAAAGCTCAGAGTTCTCACATTGGCTATCTCAGTCATTGCTGTGAAAAAACCATGGTTGCTGCTGGTAGCCCTTCAAACAGGCTCCAGCTAGGTTCTTCAGCAGGCCCTCAAAAATGAGGGTAATCAGGATACACCAGAAAGAATCGTGCAAAAAGGGCACTATTGGGAAACCAGGTCTATCGTCTATACATTCCGGGATTGAAAACAATGGCTCCAGAAGATCATGCCTGCAACACCTGTCCGGGAAGTGCTCCTTGTGGAACCTGACAGACGGATGGTTGCTTCAGGTTTCAGGCTGAAAATGTGGGTCTGGCTGAGTTACTACTATTGCCATTCCCGTAGGCCCCTTATTGCAATTACACCACGCCCTAGGGGCTCGTAGTACCTACTTTGGGGCCTAGGCTATTTGGATCCCTAGGCATAGTGTACTCCCAGGCCCTACTTGGAGGTTCATGGGCAGTTGTAAGTGGGTTTTGAATAGGTTATAAGTTACCCCACGTACAAATCCCAATTCTAACTGGCCATGAACCTCCAAGTAGGCCCTCAACCCTATAGAATCCCTAAAGATCCCATTAAAGGGACCCTTTAAAGGGACCCTTATAACTGCCCCATGAACCTAGAAGTATTCTGATTATCAAGGCCCGCGACATCCGATCGCTGCGGGATTCTGCAGTGTGTATGATTAATTCAGCCGGAGGATTCCAAAACCATCTCGACCATCCCTGCGACAAGAAACACAGCAAGTCTTCAAATTCCCTGATCCTTGGGCCACTCATCACCTTGTCATCACTGGACGCTTTAGGCTCTAAACGGAACCTTACGCCTGGGTTCGCAAGTCTTAAAACTTTGGACGTTGAGCCCCCATTTCGGAGCTCAGAACTCTTTTACAGTATGCAAGGTCTTCGGAATTAGACTCACAACAAAGGCCAAAGGCTAAAGGATCAGGCTGCAGCGCTGTCGGGAATGGGGTAGCGGGCAGTCTCGTGCTGCCGGGATAGGTACCAGCTCGCCAAGCCCAGAAGAATCAATCTTTGGGGCGAGGGCAACAGAACCCTAAAACCTAAATCCTGTATCAGGTTTTGCTGGACCAAAAACCTGTACAGCGATTTTGGGGTTCCCTGTGCATTCTGACGGGCTTCTTCTGTTCGCCCAAAGCCCTAACTGGAAGTTTAAAGTTGAGGGTTTGCCGACACGGCCTGACAGAGACTATGTTTCTGGACCAGCCCGTGCAGATTTTGCATGTTGTCCTTTGCCCAGGGGTGCGAACGTGTACGCGGCTAGTCCCCGATGCGGTCTTGCTTGAAAAAGGCCAACTGACCCTGATGAAAGCACGCTTGAGGTTGAGACGTCCCGCGGTGGGGCAAGTCTTACGCAAACGAAACTCCGCGATGAATACCACGGCGGCCTTAATAGTCAGAACAAGCCTTTGGGGCATGTTATAGTAGATTTATCAGGAAAGAATTACTCCGACCCCTGTATAGTACATGTATGGCAGGATGGAGAAACTGAATGTACTACGAGTGTCGCTGCCCGAAACATGACCACTACTGCTTTCGGGCTCCTTATTACAAGCAAAATTAGTATATGGGAGTTTCCGAAAATAGGGGTACATTATTTTGGGGTCCCCTATTGTCGGAAACTCCCATATCCCTCTGAAGACCCTATTCTAACTATTCAGGTCCCTAATAGCCTGCATGGCAGCATCTCCCGCCTGGACTTGCATCATGCCTCCACCGGGACCTCCCAGGCAGGCACAGGTTGCCACTTCCAAGACAAACAGCACCCCAAGACTCCGTGCTCAGGAGCCCAGTGCGAAGAGACCTTAATGTAGATAAAGGCTTAGTAGATTAGCCAAAAGATAAGCTTACCTTCTCGGACCACTAAACCCTAGAACCTTAAACACTAAATACTGGCTCAAGTAGTACATAGTAGCTCCGGTGACAAACCCCACTTGGCCCCTGCCCCGTATCCCCGAACCAACTCCTCAGAACTTTCGTTTAACATAGGGCCTTAACAATTACAATAAGGCGAATAAGGGTCTCTTTAAGAGGTCTGTAAAGCAAACGCTGGGGATTAAGGGTTAAAGAGTAAAGGTTTTTCTTATAGTGCTTCAGGATGTAGAGGCCTTCATGATTAAAATATGGGCCCCTTTACAGGGATCCTTTAAAAGCGTGTCCTTGAAAAGGTTCTTTAGAAGGGTTCTATAAGGGCTACTATGGGGGTTACTCTAAGGCTTTAAGGCTTTAAGGGAACTATCTTATAACTCACAACCTCTCTCTACTCTGAAAAGCTAACCCTGGTCCCCGGTTCCCTCCTGACTGAGTTGTGGACTTAGTTGCTGAGTTCATAAGCCCAAAAAAGTGTACACTTTCAGTTTATAGTGTGTAGTATTATCCCAAAAAGTGTAAAGTAGATCCACTCAGCACTCGGCATTATACTGTAATTATAATAAAGGAACACCAAATTAAGGCCATCCTAAACCCTAACCCCTATAGATGAAAGTGTATCCACTCAGCTACTAAGTGGACATCATCGATGGCCGGCTCCATTTTGGTGCTTTCGGAAGGTTGGGTCCCTCTTGCCCGACCAGTCGACAATTACGCCGTCGGTGCAGCGATGTGCCGACGCACAAGGCCATCCTTGTGCTGCGGCATCTCTTATTCGGAACCTGGGAACTTCTTGTGAGCTTTGCGGCTCTGTGTCTGAGCCAACACCACTCCCGCAGACAAGCGCATCTCTGGAGACCATGGTACCCAGAGCCTCCAAAACCCCTTAATTAAGGAATATACCTTAAATTATAACAGGAGCCCTAATATGATTTAAGGTATACTCCTTAATTAAGGCGCGTGCGCCTAAAAAAAACTACCCTGAAGACAAAACCTACAGAGGAGCGGCCGAGGGAAGTGTACAAAAGTGTGGCAGGCGCAGCAAAATCGCACGTTTTGACCTTCCCCAGCGGTATTGTGGCAGAAGCAAAAACGCTAGGCGACCATCAGTGCTATCATCATCGATGTCAACATCGCTATCATCCTCACAGCCACCATCGATATCACCATCATCTTCATCATTCTCATCATCATCGTTATCATCATCGTCATCAATGTGTTGAGCAGTGGGCTTTTTGTGTGCTGGGAAAAGCCGGCCTGAATTTATTCTCCGGACCTGGGCTGCAAAGCTAGTCTTACGGCAGAAGGCGAAAACACTGGTGGGGCCGATGACTTTGAAGGTCGCGGCAAGTTTGTTGAGGTTTGTGGGTGGAAAAGGTATGGGGCAAAAGGTCTTTGCACAGTCACCTTTGCCAGATCGCTAGGTCATCATCATTGCTACCACGGTTGTTATCATCATCGTCATCATCATCGTTATCATCATCGCCATCGCCATCGATATCATCGTGACCATCGTAATTTTCATCATCGTTGTCTTCCTCGTCGTCAACATTTCGAGCGGTAGTTTTTTTTAGGCGTGCAAGCCTTAATTAAGGGGTTTTGGAGGCTCTGGGTAAGCCAAACCACCAAAATCGCCTTGGGCCTAGACCTTAAACTCCTATAAATCCTAAACCCAAATCCTAATCCCAAAGCTACACCTTAAACCCTAAACTCGAAGCCCAAACCCAGAGGGGCCCCAGACCTTCCGAGCCCTGAACATCCTTCGATATCCTTTCTGAACCATTAACCCTGACCTCGCGAGAGCCAAAAAGGCCCCTCAAGCAAGGAATATATCTTGAGTTCATACATACTATTTTGGAGTTCCTTTAAAGGGTTCCTTCAAGGGGTCTATCAGGGATCTATAAGCTTGTTCTATGGTATAGGGGCCTTCATAACTTAATCAGGCATTGAAAGTATGGTTTTAAATCTTTTCCTTGATTTTAAGGGTCTTAGACTATACGCAGAGAAAACGCGTTGTGGGAGTTTCCGAAAACTAGGGTACTTTTTTCGGGGGTCCTTATCATAAGGATCCTAGTATTTAGGGTACTATATTAGGGTACCCTATTTTCGCCTTAAACCCCAAATCCTAAACCCTAAGCCTCTAAACCCTAAAACCCTAACCCCTAAACCCTCGACCTTAACCCATTGTAGTATCGTTTTGGAGCCCTTTAAAGGAACCCTCATAATCCCCTCGAAAGGAACCCTATACCCTAAACCTTTAGATCCTAAACCTCAAACCCTAAAACCCGAACCCCCAAAACCCTGTCCTAGACCTTAACCCCTGAACCCTAAATCCTGGACCTTAACCACTGAACCCTAAATCCTAGACCTTAACCCCTGAACCCTGAACCCCTGAAACCACACAAAACCCAAACCCTAACCCCTAAACCCTAGACCTTCACCCCTGAACCCTAAACCCCTAAAACCACACCACACAAACCCATTGTAGTATCCTTATAAAGCCCTTCAAGGAACCCTCACAATCCCCGTTAAAGGAACCCTCATAATCCCCTTTAAAGGAACTCTGAAACCTAAAACCCACAAAACCCAGGAGTGGCCTTGGACCTGGAACATCTGTCCGGGCCCGAAGCCTTCGGGTACGATCCTGGGAGGCTTTAGGGGGTAAGGGGTTTAGGGTTTAGGTTTCAGGGTTTAGGGTTTAGGTTTCGGGGTTCAGGATTAGGGATTGCGGCTTGGGGGTTTAGGGGTTTTAGGGCCTCCTTTAAAGGGGAGAATCTGAGGGTTCCTTGAAAGGGCTCTATAAGGATATTGCTGTGGGTTTGGGTTTGGGTTTAGGGGTTTAGGGGTTTAGGGGTGTAGAGTTTAGGTTTTAAGGTTTAAGGTTTAGGGGTTTAGGGGTATAGAGTTTAGGTTTTAAGGTTTAAGGTCTAGCTCAGCCCTGGGCCAGAATAGACGAGTGCATAATTGCATCGCTTGTGCACATCCGAAACCGCACCTCCCTGTCGGACAATGCACGGTGTTTGTCCGCTGCATAGGCGGCCAACGAACCTCAGGCTGCTGATATCATCCTGCACTGTTTTGCGTGTCTTGGTTTGTCTTGCCTTTGTCCTGCCTTTGTCCTGAAGAGCAGCTCGTAGCGTCGAGTCAACAGCTCCGGGGCACCCTACCCCCTCCCCCTACTCCCCTAAGGGTCCCTATGAAAACATGCATCAAGCTCAAGACTTGAACGCTTGAGAAATCACGGGCGAGTCGAGACCTTTTGCAGTACGACTGTCAGGTCGCATAAATAATGTTACGGATCAGGGCTGAGGGTTTGCAGTGGAAGCCCAGAAGTTGGAAACCCCATAGCCTCAATCCTGAAGAGCAATGTATAGGGAATCACAGCACTATTTGGCCTTAATCCGGTTTCCAACTTTATAGGGTTGACTGTAGGGACATCTATTGCCTACTTGGAGGGTCGGGGGACTTAGTAACTAGATATTTTAGGGGCTTATAAGTACCATAACCCCAATTAGGGTCCGTTTTAGGATACTTATAAGTCTACCTACTACCTACTTAATAGGTCCCCCAAAGACCCTCCAAGTAATCCCTAAACCGGTTTCAAGAAGACACTAGAAGCTGCCCCCACCCTGTAATAGTGGCTATAAGGATTATATTATGGCCCTATTCTATTCCTATTATACCACTATTACAGAGTGGGGGCAGCTTCTAATCTATTGGTTTCAATCAAAGGTAAAAGGAGTGACCCTTAATAAGGACCCCTAGGTATATACCCTTAATTTTGCTATTCCATACCCATTATAAGCCCCATTATAGGGTAGGGGTCCCCATTAAGGGTCCCTCCTTTTCCCCTTTGATAAACCGGTTTCAAGAAGACCCCTGATCAACTTCATCCCGGCCTCGGCAACCTGCGATACGATGCCCCGGAAACCCCTAAGCCTTAGGTACGGCCCCCATACAGTAAGAGTCTATAATAGGGCTACTATTCAGGTCCTAATATATCTATATTATGGATATTAGACTTCTTTTGAGTCTATTTTCCTTAAAGGGTTTAGGATTCCCTCAAGGGTTTAGGGTTCCTTACAGGGTTTAGGATTCCTTTAAGGGTTTAGGGATTAGGGTAATAGGGGGTGGAGGTTGGGTAGTAACAGTCTATGATAGGGCTACTTTATAAGGTCCTAATATATCTATATTATGAATATTAGTCAACTATTACTGAGTGGGGGCCGTGCCCAACCTAAGCCCTGAAACCCTAATAAACAACACCCGGAACAAACCAACAACCCAAAAAAACCCAAAACACTAAACACCCTAGAAACTCTAAGCCCTGAACCCCCAATAAACAGCACGCCGAAAACAAAAACCAAACCCCAAAAACCCTTAGCCCTGAAACCCCAATAAACGACACACCTACACCCCCAACGATCCTAAAACCGCAAAGCCGCACAGATCCTAAACCCAGGCTTTAAATCCTAAACACCCTTAAAAACCCGAAGTCCTTCACCGCGTAGACCCTAAACCCAACTGGGTGGTTGTCGAAATTATTGTCCCTTCTTGGGTCCCTATTATAATACGGCACTTATTATTTAGGGTACCCAAAAAGGGACCATAATTCTAACAACCACCCAAACCCTAAACCCTAGACCCTAAACCCAACTAAAATCCAAGGCGCACTTGCATGAGGGAAGGGTCCGAGCCTTCTGAGCAGCAGCCGATCGGCTTTTGGGCTTTTGGGCTTTAGGCTTTGATCAGAAGTTTAGGGCTTAGGGTTTAAATCGGGTTCAGGGTTTGGGGTTTAAAGGGTTTAGGGTTCAGGGTTGAAAGGGTTTAGGGTCAAAAGTTTAGGGTTTAGGGCTTAAGGTTTAGGGTTTAGGGTCTAGGGTTTAAAGGGTTTAGGGTGTAGGGGTTTAAAAGGTTTAGGGTGTAGGGGTTTAAAGGGTTTAGGGTCTAGAGGGTAAAGGGTTTAGGGTTTAAAGGGTTTAGTGTTTAGGGTTCACTATCGTCTCTAAGAGCTCTGTAAGGGTTCTGTACTGTGTAGCCCCATGATAATAAGGGTACCTTAGGGTTCCTTTACGGGTACTTTAGGACCTCTCTAAGGGTTCTAGAAGGGTCTAAGGTTCCTGTCGGTGGCTAAGTTCCTTAATGAGAACCCATAGTTTAGGTCCTTACTTGGAGGTTCATGGGTAGTTATAAGTGGGGCTATACATAGGGTAACTATAGTTATAACGCATACTAGGGGGCTTATAACCCCACTTATAACTACCCATGAACCTCCATGTAAGGTAATGCAGGATTTACATCATCAATCATCAACCGTAGGCGGTACTAAAATAGAGTTCCCTTCGAGGGTCCTGCAGCTAGGTTCCTGAGTAGCCCCTTGATAATAAGGTACTCTTTTTCCTACTATTCGGTTCTTATATGGAGACCCTAAAAAGGGCAAAGTGGTACTAGTCATGAACCTAGGCGGAAGCAGCAGATCAACACATAATATGAAGTAGTGCCTAACAGCATGAGGAGCAACAGCAACATCACCGGCAATGGCAGCAGACAGCAGCAGTCGCCAGTAGTACTGCGCCGCTCTAAGGGGTATTTCCTTAATTCAATGATATTGGAGTCTCTGGGAACCCTGGTTTCTGACCCAAGCCTTGCGCCACGATAGGAGCCCCTTACTTACTATAGAATAGGGTTTTGGGGTACATTATACAAAAATTATTGCAAGGAGCCCCCAAAATAGTATAGGTAACTGTTAAGGCCCCCACACTAAACCCCTCCATAATAGCACTTAGAGTAATGCTTACAGACACCTTTGCAAGCAAGGAACTGATAGAAACCCTAAAACCTGATGGACCCCTCTAAAGGTACCTTAAACGGGAACCCTACTCCAATTGAACCCACCATAATACCCCTCATAGTAACCCTTATAGAGCTCTTATAGTAGCCCTAAAGGACGCCTCTAAAGTTTCTGACCCTGGCCTTGCGCCACGATAGGAGCAGCCTGCTTCTGGGGCAGCACGGCGTTCGGACCGAAGATCTGCGCCAGGGTTGTTTCAGGGGTTCCCAGAGAGCCCAAGGGATCCCTTATACCTCGGGCTCCTTTACGGCATCCACAAGGGATCTATAGTGTTCAGGGCCTGTGTTTAGGGGACCCCAATAGCCTTGTAATTTCGGAATATACCTGAAATTGTAGTAGGAACCACAATATGATCGGAGGTACTGTCCTTGATCAATGCAGGGGTATTGGGCTCTGGGTTTTTTTGGGGTTGGCTGAAGGGTTGTACTGGGGTTTAGCAAGCTTGAGGTCGCCTTGACGTGTTTACTGTTTCTAGGTTTTAGGGCCGTTTCGGGATTCTTTTGGGTTAGCTTTCCTAGGGCTTGTCGGGTGCTTTTTGCTTCTAGTGTGTTGAGGGTGTTTTAGGGTTTGGGGCCACGGGAATTCGCAGTTTAAGGCCCTGTAAGCATGCCCAAAACCCTGAGTTTTAAACCCAAATCCCGAAGCCTTCAAAAAACTTAAGCATGTAGGAGTCGATGGCTTCGGGCTAAGAATTCTTTTAACGAATCCTCCAGTCACTGTATTGAAACCCTACGTAGTTGCTGAGTTCATAATCCCAAAAAGTGTACGTGTCAGAGGTCTACAAGAGATAATACCTATATCCTCCATTGTAGTTCCTTTTTATTTTTTGGTTTAACCAGTTATATACTTTGGATCCTATTATAAGGTAACCCCAAAAAGGAACTCCAATGGAGACTATAGGTATTCTTCCAAAAAGTGCAATGTACTCACCCAGCTAAAGCTAAGAAAGCTTGCTGCAAAAGTTAGTCTTAGGGGAAGAAGGGTTTGGGGCTTTCGGTCCAAGCTGTTGTAAGAGTGGGCTTCAGGGAATGGCAATTTTACGCTTTCGGATGTCAAGTGTACCTTACACTACCATATCCTATTTCTTGCAGGAAAACTCCTTGCCCAGGACCATAACCACCCGAGAGCTTTGAACTTTCAGGTTCCGCATTTTCGAAGATGGAGCTAGTACCCAAGCACGTAAGTTTAAACCAGCGATCTAATCCATGCTCCGGGAGAGTGCTTTGCGGTTTGACAAAGCTCGTGAGTTTCGTCATGAAGTCCGGAGAGGCCGTGCTCAGTAGCACTCGTGGCCACTTCAAGCATATTGTCGATTTTCGCATTCCCATGCTTGTCTGTGCTTAGCTGCTAGTACCCAGCTTGCCCTCAAGGTCGACAGAATGAATCCAAGACATGCACCATTGGTTTGTCGAGAGACTACGTACCACAGCACACAAATGTGGAATTTATAGCGACCGGAGACAAAGTAGGTTTCGGTAGGTTCTGGCCGGAGTTGATTACCAGTGGCATTCGAGTCTGGGTGTGGAGGTGTGTGAGCTTATGGCTTATGGCTTGTGCTGGACAGCTTAGAAGTTGGTTTTTAGGCGTTGTTTGTAGTGTTGGGCTTCGCACTTCGGGATGTTAGGTCGGTTAGGTTACACCTTAAATTCCGTCGGCCTTATCTACCCCCACACTGGCCTTGTAAACCCAATATACAGATAGATAGGTAGGTAGATAGATAGATAGATATGTAGACAGACAGGCAGAGAGGGAGAGAGAGACAGACTATATAGACCCCCTTTAGAACCCTTGTAGAACCCATATAGATCCCAAACCCTGCGAGCCTTTCTGCTGCTGCTGCTCTTCGTATTTCCGCTTTCTCTCTATAATAAAAATCGACTAGTCCGCTCGTCTGTAGTTGTTCTTAAACAGACCCTATATGTAAACCCCGAGCCATGTGGAACCCGCAAGAAAAAACTTACAACCCGTAAAGGAACCCTGAATAGGAATCGTAGGAGTCGGAGTATAGGGTAGGAGTAGTAGGAGTAGTAGGAGTAGTAGGAGTAGTAGGAGTAGTAGGAGTAGTAAGAGCAGTACTTAATAGTGTAATGTTGACGGCCGCTCATACATTCATACATACATACATACATACACACATACATGCACACATCCATACCTACATACATACATGCATACATAAATGCACACATGATTACATACATAAATACATACATACATACATACCTACATATACATACCTACAATCACACATAAATACATACATACATACATACGTGTATACTTACATACACACACCTACAAATACACAAATACAAACATACATACATACATACATATATATATATATGTATGTAACAGAGAGAGAGAGAGAGAGAGATAATTGCATGGGGTTTGATAAGCAGAACAGCGGTTCCGTGTAATTATGTAACAAAAACAAAGCCTTCAAGCTTCTATATACGACAACATCAACCTCAAACCCGAACACTTCAATAAATGAAACCCTGAACCGGCTTATCCGCAACGTCCTGCCTCTGTCATCTTCGCCTGGGTGGGTGGGTACTCCACGCCGTCGTTCCGGGCGAGCTGATCCAGCTGAACGCCCAGCCTTGTTTACTGGACCTAAGAGTAACTTAGGAATAAAAAGGGCGCCCTTTTTGGTTTGAAGGGGGACTTAGTAACTGGTTATTTTAGGGATTTGTAAGTACCATAACCCCAATTAGGGTCCCTTCTTGGGGTTACTTATAAGCCCAGATTCTCAGGCTTGAGCCCCAAAGCCTGGAGCTACTTTGCTGGAAAGGAATCCTAGACCGGTTTACGGCTTTACTTGGAGGGTCGGGGGACTTAGTAAGTAGGGGCTCCTTTAGAAGGGTTCCTTTAAAGGGCTGTTATAAGGGTACTATAGGGTTTAGGGTTCAGGGACTTAGTAAGTAGGTAGTCGATTCTCGGAGCGACGACAGAGCTGGATGTCCGAGACTCGGCATCCAAAGCACCGTCGGCTCTTCCAGGGATGGCCGGGACTGATGTGCGAGAGCAGAGCCTGCCGACTCCGGATGGCCCTCCGCGTCTCTTTCACGGAGAGACCTGGGGCGGCCCGTCGCCGTGAACCTGACAGTCGGCTTCAGGTTGAACCGGCCGCGCCGGGAAGAGCGGCAACCACCGCACACGTTGTGAGGCGGCCGCCGAAAGGTGCGGCCTCCGCACCTTTGGCACGGCCACCCCGCCATGACATCCCCAAGTAGTGGGGCTCAGACTGCTTAGAACCACTCAATTATAGGGCTTATCGCTCCTGAGTTTTGGGGGCTTCGAACCTGGTGCTATGAGATTCTATCCGATCTCAGGCTTCAGAGACATGGGTCACTCGCGTAGGGTTCCGTTGAGGGTTGCTTTGCAGGGTTTCTCGAAGGGGTATGGTAAGTGTTCCGTTTAGAATCCTTTTAGGGCTTCTTTGCAGGGTTTCTAAACTTGGCTTATGCAAGTACTTCTGAACCCCTCCTAAAAGTTAAACTTTTAGCCTCCTTATTATGGCTCATATAGAAACCCCAAAACTCAAAGTCCTAAGAGCCTAACAGAAGAACACCAAGTAAATGATGTACAGTATTATGATAAGGGTTTAATGTAGGGTATGGTGTGCAGTCGAACAAGCCGTTTTCGGAAGAAACGCAGACAATCCCACAACCCCGCCGCAACCCTGTCAGAAACTCTAGATCTTGGAAAAAAACAACCCGAGAGCCCACTACCCCTTCAATAAGGCAAAACGAGGCTGTCCTAGGCCTCGACTACGCAGAGAGGAGCTACAAAAGGGGCCTTATAATTATAGAATAGGGTTTCGGGGCCAGCTATACTTTTCTATAATAAGGAGCCCCCACAATAATTTACAGGTAATTATGAAGGCCTCTACATTAGCTCGTACTCGCTGCATCGCGAAGCAGAAACACAGCGTTACACACTGAAACAGCTGTCATGCAGAGCTTACGAGTTTTGGGAACCCTCAAAATCAAGTCTTACGCAATTCCTGGGCCCAACATCGACCCTACCTAAGGAACCTACCCTTTTAGGGCCCCCTAATAAAATTCCTTTATATAAGTCCCTAAAAAGGTCGGTTCCTTGGGGTCCAAGTAAACCCATAACCGTCGGCTTGCGTTTGGTTTGCTCCTGCAGCCAAACCACTTGATCATCTCGATCATCAGATTTTCCTGCCCGGTTCTAGGCGCCGCGAAGTGCCCAGAGACTCCAATATCCCTTAATTAAGGAATACCCGAAGAACCTACCTTTTTAGGGCTCCTTATTATGATTTCCTTATACACGTCCTTAAAACGGTAGGTTCTTCAGGGTTAAGGTATTTCTGAAATCATATTAGGGATCCTCCTTTTATTTTAATGTATATTCCCTTAAGTAAAGGGTGTTGGAGTCTATTCTGTGCCCGGACCGTGACAGTCATAACACTTACGTGGCAGCAGTAGTAGCGACCATCGGCAGCAATAGAAGAAGTAGGAGTACGGGTGGATGTAGGGGTAGGGATAGGAGTAGAAGCAGGATTACGACTGAGAGTAGTCAGGAGCAGGAGACAGAGGAATTAAGGATATATAGGAGTAGGAGCAGCGCCACTACCACTACTGCTACCAATACGACTACGACTGCGACCACTACCAGTTGTAGTCGTGGTGGTAGTTTCAGTAATACATAATGCTTTTTGTCGTTGACTATTCTTGTTGCTGCTCTTGCTGCCACTGTGGTGGTGATGGTGGAGGCGGTGATGCTTTCTTTCACTCATACTGGTAGCACGAGCAGCAGCAACAGCAGCAGTAAACCGAAAGCCCGGAAGCGGCCGGCCTGCATCCTCACTTGGGCGATGTTGCCACGTGAAACCTGCAACCAGAGTTGTACTGACATGGTTGCATAGAGGTCGCTTTCTTCATGAAAAAGGGGCCTGAGCAATTCCAACAGGGTTTTTTGGGGTATGATATATTATAACTAATCACAACACAACAAGGAACCCCTAAAATAGTATTGGAAGTTATTTCGGCTCGTATATGATGTGCATTCTTGCACTTGGAAACCGCCGATATGCAAAGGAAGACATCAAGGGAGCTGTGCGATGCTTCACCACACCATACGTTCTACCAGCATAGCCAATAGTCTCAGGGTGTCATGAAGTCACATAACGTGCTGGTTCTGACTCAGGAATGAATTTTTATAATCCAAGAACGCTGGGATCTCTGTGTCGAGGGTCAGGGTTTAGGGCACCTTATGGTTAGCCTGAAGCACAAGAGCAAGGGCTCAGGAAGCAGCTTGAGCCTCAACACTTCGAGTGCGGATTTGGGGCAAGTAATAGCCAAAGCACTTTCGCTTATTTGCGGTTTAAGGGGCCCCTTTTCGACTGCAGATTCGAAGGCCTCATTTGAGGAGAGCTCTTTAAGCATTTTCGGTTTAGGGTTCAGGGATTAGAGTTTAGGCTCATCAGGAACCAAAAGGACTCAGATGGATAAGGACTACGCCAAACAAGAAGCCTAAATCCCTTGTTATAGAATCCCTAGACCCTTATTATAGAAACCCTAAACCCGTGTTATAGAAACACTAAGCCCTTGTTATCGTATAAAAACCTAAACCCGTATTATAGAAACACTAAACCCTTGTGGTATCGTAAAGAAATAAACCCTTATTAATTATAGGAAACCCTCAGCCGTACCTGTACAAGCGACCCAAACGAGAGCCTTACGGTTCTGCAGGTCCTCTGAGATCTTGTCCGTGAGCTGGCGGAGCGTTGACAAATCTTTCGAGGTTTCTTCAGAGTGCTGGAGCCAAGCCTGAAACCATAAACCTAGCCTTCTACAGTCTCATGTGGGAGTTTCCGAAAATAGGGACCCTAATATAGTACCCTACATAGTAGGATCCTTCGTATAAGGCCCTTCAAGGTAAGGTACCCCCAATTCTCGGAAACTAAACCCTAAACCCTGGTAGTAACCCTTTAAAGGAACTCTTATAGTACCCTTATAATAGGCCTTTAAAGGAACCCTTATGGTACGGCTTTTGCAGTTTGCGGATCGAAGGGGTCAAGTCTTTGGTGCTTCAGGGTTTAGGGCTGCAACAGCCCTGACTGACCCAGAGACTCCAATACCCGATAATTAAGGAACATACCGTAGCTTAAAATTCTAGGAGGATCCCTTATATGATTTAAGGTACATCCTCTTAATTCCCTTAGAATCCCTTATAGATCCCTTAAGGAGCCCTTTATGGAGCCCTTTAAGGTATATTCCTTAATTAAGGAATATTGTGAGCCCTCCTTGAGCACGAGCCGAGGGTGCGGTGAGATTTCGAGGCCTTGGGGGACGCCTTCTCAAGCCTTTGGGCAAACTGCTCTTTGTTTTAGGGTTTAGGGGTTTAGGGCTGCTCACCCAGCTGATTCGTGAAGTTAAACAGTTAGGACTGCTGCTTGTTTTAGGGTTTAAGGTTTAGGGTATTCTGCTGGGGCAGCTGATTCGTGCGGTTAGGGGTCGCGGATGGATTTTAATTTTGCTCGGATGATTACTCTCCTATGCAGGGCTTGCTGTTTGGTTGCACAGATTGACTCTGGGGTTTCGAATCGGAAAAACTGACTCTTTGATGAACTAAGTTCGTCGGCTGCTTTTGTGCCTTGTCGACTCTTGCAGAAACAGTCCTCTTCCAGCAACATTGCAACCATACTACTGGTGATAACTAGAATAAGGTTCTGGGTATATGATACATAGCACTCACTGGCCCAAAACCCAAGGAAATAAAAGTTGAAACTTTCAGAATCGACTACCTTATAAGGACCCCAAAAGTTGAAAAGTTAAGTTTGCAGCCAATAAGAATATGGAACCCCAAGGAATACGGTAACTAGGGGTCCAAACGCTCCGAAGCACGAGAGCCAAAGCCCAAGAACGGCACATCCGGCGAGACCTCGCCCGAAACTGCAAAGTCCACGTGACCTTCCAGCGCAGGGTCCAGCATGCCCAACCAGACCTTCAATCGAAGGCCCTGCCGAGTGGCGGCTGGATCGTCCTCTGCTGCAGCCAAAACTTCGGCTAGCACAGTCCTGCTGAGCGCAGTGCGGGGCAGATAGCGTCGGCCCGCCGTTCGATGCCATGCCGCCTGCGGAACGGCCACCAAGAAACTGCCCTCAAACTGGGCAATCACAACGATGGAGCAAGACAGGGACGGCCCTGTCTCGTCCTCAATCCGAAGCTCGCCGACCTGCGGTGAAGAGCCCTCCAACGAATGTTCCAGGAGCCTCTGGACGGCCGAGCGCTCCCCTGCGCCCTCACCGCCTTCAGACCCTGCTTGGCTGGCCATCCAGACTGAAAGCATATAAAGGTATACACTGTTTACTCGAGTTGTGATGAGGAGCCCTCAGGAATACTGTTGGTAATTGTTCCGACCCCCCCCCCATTTTACACCTATATTGCCCATACTTCTACGAATACGGACACAAACTTGCCATCTTCGGAGATACAAGCTCAAACTTGCAGCACGATGCCAACTGAAAATAGCACCAACAGATTAAAAGCTTGGCAGCGGGGAGTTAAACCGCAAACCCGAAATTCTAAGGGAGGTAACAAGCCGCCTGCTTGTCGCATCCGCACTTTGGCTGGATTGTGCCGCCGTCCTCCGCAGATTTCTATAGCTGCAACAGGGGTTCGTCTCAAGTGGCTGCTTCGGGTTGAACGTCGGGGCTTTGCAATTTTGAATAGAGATTGGGCGTGTTGGCTTATATTATAGGCGGACACGACTCACTGACTCTGAAGCCCACTATATCACTCGCGCCTGTCGTATAGATGGGCTATCGCGCTATACAATATCAAGCTGCTTCTCGGGGAGTGGGGTTGGGAAAAGTAGCCGTGTATAGGATATAGGGGCTAGAATAGACCCCAATCGGCCTTGGGGCAAACCTCTTTCCCTAGACTGTCTCTCCGCGTCCATAGACCCCTACCAGTACGAGTCCATCGTGGAGTTGGGTAGGGTCTATGTCCAGGCGTCTGTACTGATACTGGGAGATCCCTACCTATGGCCACCTCTGTCTGGATAGATGGGGACTACTACAGTGAGTAGTGGGCTGTAGCGATTCAGAGAGGGGTCTATGCGGATAGGGGCCTTTGCAAGAGTAGACAGGGTAGGTTCATGATAGGTAGTCTTAAGTGAGGTAACTTAAAGAGTCCCCTGATATCGGTTATAGTTGTAGTTGCCTTGCTTTTTAACACCACGTTTAACTAATCATGAACCTCCAAGCTTAACAAATATTTATCATGAGAGTTCTAGGATGAAAGTACACTACACTATATTTTGCACCTCCAACCAATGCAAAATGTATAGTTCGTGACAGCATGCCCATATAGCCCCTACATCGTCCAATAAGAAAGAAATGTAACCCCAACATCTCAAGATCGAGTTCTGATTCGCATAGCCCCTATATAATGCGAGGGTCCTTGACCCTGAAATCTTGAGCCCTCGCAAAACCTTGACAGAAGCCTGATAAATTCAGCAAAATTCCACAAAGAACCCCTTTACAGTAGCAGACAAGACGGCTCTGAAACCAATGGAGCCCTAAAACATAAAAGCAGAATCCTAACTGGATCCCCTGCACTTCAACAGGGTCCCAACAAAAAACAAACCAGCATTTTACAGATGGGGACATGGCGTGCAACACCGGAGTGTCCATGCTTGTGCTTACGCCCGTTTCTGGGCCCTAAATAAACTGATCCTCAATTTTCCAGGATCCAAACACCAGGGGTCTCTCGCAACCGAAAACCGTTCAAACTTGGGACCCAACACCGAAACTGCATGGGTACTTGAAACCCTTAAACCCGAATATAATCCCTAACCCTGTAGACCCTAAAACCCTACCTGGACCCCCAACTACCGGCTAGTATACCCAAATGCACACTATTAAGGGCCATTGGGGCTCTACTCAATGGCCCTGGAGGGGCCTGATAAACCCTAAACCTTCGAGGCACTTAGGAGTTTTTGGGTCCGTCTCCACATTGAAGCATTGGCCGCAGCAGATCGATTCGACGTCAACCTTGCTTTCTTAGGGTTAAAGGCTTCGGATTTGTACGATAAGGGTTCCTTTAAAGGGTCTGTAAGGGTTCTAGACGTTTAGGGTTTAGGGGTTAGGACTGTGAGTTGAAGGTTGTTGACCAATACAGGAACCACAGTAACGACTGCCGGTAGCATCTGGGGGCCTAAGGCAGGCGCTACTGTCTAGCCACTTGGGACCTCCCGGGCTTGGTTTCTGGCTCCGGGTGCCGGTAGGCTTTCCCAAAGGGCCCTCTGTACTGTTTGGGGGGATGCTTCCCCAAATCATAATAGTGATTCCTTATATAGAAACCCTACATTCCACTATATAGGTACTTTGGGCCTTCGGGTTTAAGGTTCCAGAAGCCACCGCAACACTCTGTAAAACCTTCTGCTACTTGTCCGGTATTCTATGGGAACTACAGTAAAGTAACCTTCGGGATTACAGTACCCCAAAATGTGTAAAGGTTACTTACTCTACTGCTGGGTCTAAAACTCTCTGCCAGCCCTGGCGCTTGAAACAAGTAACACTAAGATTTTTGCTGAGAACAGTTGGGGTTTCAGAGTTCAGGCTTCAGCATTTCCGGCTCAGAGTTCAGCTGCACATCTGAAGGTTTAGGGTTCGAGGGCTTACCCTAAGGGTCCATGTACTCATATAGTATATACATTGGCCTTAAAGGACTCCGTATATAGGTACATTGGGCCCAAAGTATATACTATTTGGGCACATGGACCCTTAAGGTTAGGGTTTTTGGGCTCAGGGTTTGGAGCTTCAGCCCCTCATCTGAGAATTTCGTTTTCAAAGCTGGCGGCATAGCAATGGCTCAACAAGCTTTCGGCACTTCGCGCTTAGGCGGCTGCCGAGCCCAGTTGGGCATACGGCATCCTCATCGTGCTCGTGGTGCAAAAGTCCTGTCTAGGAATGTTTAGGATTGTTCATGCCGGCAAACATTCAGGAAGCAGCGAAACATACCTCTGAGTTGGGGATGAACTCGTCATCTGACATCGCCCCTAGATGGCGAAGGGTCCCTCGTTTGTAGCGCCGTGCATGTGATTTATCGTCCCAGGCCCTAATCCCTCAGACGACAAACCTAAACCGAAAACCATGAACCCCACAAACCTAAACGCTACACCCCGGAGACCTGAACCCTACTTGGAGGGTCCAGGGACTTAGTAACTGGTTATGTTAAGGACTTATAAGTACCATAACCCCAATTAGGGTGTCGTTGAGGGTACTTATAAATGTACTTACTACCTACTTACTAAGTCCCCCGACTCTCCAAGTAAGCCCTCAACCCTAACTAGGCCCTGAGCGCGATCCAGAGAGCACAAGGGTCCATTTGATTAACGGGACCCTTGGGCTCTTTGGAACGCCCTTAAACCATAATACTAGGGCCCCTATAATCCCTATCACTTAAGGTCTCTCTTATAACCCCTGTAACTTAAGGTCTTCCCTAAAACCCTTGTAACTCCAGGTCTGTTCCTACTTAAAGGGCCCGCCCCTTGGGCTCTCTGGGGAACCAGAGTGAAAGCTTCAGGGTTTAGGGGATTGAAAACACGAAAACACAGGCAAGAAAACACATACTAATGTAGGAACCTGATTCAGAAACCTGGGCCTTTATTAGGCTTCCTTACATGAGCCCTACTGTTTTGGGGTTATAAGCCCAGGGTTTCTTAATCAGGTTCCTGCATGACACTATCTGGAGAGATGCCCTAAACTTCGCCCGTGCAGGCGGCTTCAAACATCAGCAAACCACACTACCCTGGCCACGGAAAGGATCTTCTTATCCAGCGCTACCGCTGTCGAGCATGATACAGCTATGAATGAACTGTATCATCGGATAATCCCGTCATGCAGTCAGTTAACATAAGTAACGAAATAGCTGAAACCTCCCAAAGCATAGACAACTGCATCAATACAAACTCAGCTACTATGCAACAAGAATCGCAAACCCTCACAACCCCTGACCCTACCAGTACCTAAGGGCTCTATTGAAGGGCATTGGGGGTATCCTGGTAATCCCAAAGCCTCAACCCCCAACCTGCAAACCGAAAAAAACCGATCGGACAACTCTTGACATTCATCGAACACCGCTATCTCAACAACCACTCTCGAGAAAAAGCCTCATCAGGACGCACAGAGAAGCCCTCGTACACCCCTGCGTACAACGAACATAACACCCTCATTGAAACCCTCTAAAACCTTAAGGGTCCATGTACCCAAATAGTATATACTTTGGGCCCAATGTACCTATATACGGAGTCCTTTAAGGCCAATGTATATATTATATGAGTACATGGACCCTTAGGGAAACCTTATACAACCACAGAGTTTCGCCCAGGTCCTTCTTGGTAAGAGTCACCTCTTCCTCTCCTTGGTTGGGCTCAGCGCTTGAGGATTTAGGTGTGGCTTCAGGGTTTTGGGGCTTGGGCTTCAGGCTTTAAGGGTTTTCGGTTCTTGTTGGTTTGTGGATTTTGGGGTTTAGGGTTCAGGGCCTACGGTTTCAGGATTCAGGGCTCAGCGTTGTTCGGCGGCAACAATGAGGCTCGGATGTCCATTCTAAGGGTTATAGGGACTCCTATATGTCGAATATTCTACAGCACGGACTCGCCTCGAACAAAGAAGCATAATATTCCCAGCGCGATCTTTCACTGCGTCGTCGGGGCCTACCTGTATGCCCAAACCCTACAACATAGTACGTTATGACCCCGTCATTAGAGGGTCTAACCCTTAAAATGGTAGGTTTTGGGGTCCACAGGTAAACCCTACTTGGAGGGTCGGAGGACTTAGTAAGCAGGTAGTAAGTAGACTTAGAAGTATCCTTAAAAGGGACCCTAATTGGGTTTATGGTACTTATAAGCCCCTAAATAACCAATTACTAAGTCCCCCGACCCTCCAAGTACAAGCCCTATACGAACTCCTGTACCCACAAGGCGTAACCTGGAACCTCTGAACCCCCAGACAGGCCAGCACCCCTTGTTTGATATCAAGTTGTGATTTGAGGTGGGTGGTTGTCAAAATTAGGGTCCCTTTTTGGGTACCCTAAACACTAGGTGCCGTATTATATAGGGACCCAAAAAGGGACCATAATATTGACAACCACCCAGGTATAGAACCCTTTAAAACCTACGAAACCCGTTAATTGGGACCTAAACCCTAGTCTCAGGTAATATTCTCCTCAATCAAGCGGCATTGGACTTTTCAGAGACTCGAAAATGAGTTGAGTCACCACGACAGGGATCCCTGTCATATCAAGTACATTCCTTAATTCGGGCTTTCTGGGCCTTTGTCTGTGGGTGCCGCCGAGAGGCCCAAGTGCAGGTGCTGCCTCAGGAGTCGGGGTTTAGGGTTCAGGGTTTTAGGATTTACGGCTTGGGGTTTAAGGCGTTTGTCGTGTTTTTGGTGGGTCCTTTTTCTAGCTGGATCGGTGTCCTAAACCCAAAACCCTAAAGCCCCGTTTCGGGCAAAAGAGACTGCATGTGGTTGCCAAGGCCTTCTGCGTGGGAAGCGTTCGAACTGAGCGTCTTCTTTGGGCGTCTTGCTTACCTAGGTGGGGCTTTTAAGGCTTTTGAAAAATATTAGTAAATAAGATCCTCTTAAGCCCAATAAGGGAAAATATAAAATGTCCCAAAGCCCCACCTAGTTACAGTGAGCTCGTCGTCAAAACAGATGCTGCAGTGGCAACTCAAAGTCAAGACTTGGGTAGTTCTCTAAATTAGGGTCCCACTTTTAATTAGGTCCCCAAAATATCACGGCACCCTTATCGAAAGGGCCCAATCCAGGGACCCGAATTTAGAGCACTGCCCAATTATCTCTGGATGCATCCTGCACCCTAAACTGTAAACCCCTAAACCGCGCTCAACTCTATAAACCCCTACTGTAAACTACCCTAAACTCTATACCCACCTAACCTCCAACCGAGCCCAGAACCTCTCCCTTTTTGCGTGACGAGTCCCCAAAAGCCCAAAATAAGCCAGAAAGTTCGAATACCGTTATCCTCATACCATCAAGATTCAGTAGAAGGAACCCTAGTACACTAGATTTGGATCTCCAAGATAGACTGATAAGAAAACTGGGACCACAAAAAGGGAAAAGGAGCACACAGGCAGACCTAATATTCATCCTCATCCATGTTCCGACTTCTGGGGTTCGCTACAATCCGCCCCAAGCAATTCTTCAAGGTGGTGTCTGAGTTGACGTCCCAACGCTCTAGCCGCTGCTCACGTCCTATTGCTGGCATGAGTTTCCGCAGCAACGCATGGCAGGGATGACCATCCAGTTCAGCCACCTTCAGGTAGTCCTCCATCTGCTCTCGAATCACTCGAAACCACTTGTGGCCTGTCCACGGACCTTGCATCACAGTCAAAAGGATCTCTGACAAGGCCACTTGCGCTTGCAGCTCTGCAGCTTTGCAGCCGTTGGCCATGACCCGCACTAATTGGTGGCGGACATCCGGAAGATAGACTAGCCGTAATTGCAGGTGGTGTAGACAGAACCACATTGGTGCAACCACGTCGCTGCCCTGACCCCCCTGTACTTGGAGGGTCGAGGAACTTAGTAACTGGTTAGTTTAGGGACTTATAAGTACCATAATCCCAATTAGGGTCCCTTTTAGGGTACTTATAAGTCTACTTACTACCTACTTACTAAGTCCCTGAACCCTAAACCCTAAACCCTATAGTACCCTTATAGAGCCCTTTAAAGGAACCCTTATAACCCCTTCAAAGGAGCCCCTTCTTAGTAAGTCCCCCGACCCCCCCCCCTGTACAACAAGGGACGGCAACTCCATCAACCAGCGCTGCTTGTCTTGGTCAGCATCTGGCAGACCCTCCACCCCTAAAAGCTGCACCGCGAACACCCTAAACTCTAAACAAAAGTTGGTGTGTCCGGAACTCTTTGGCTTCTTTGGGCTTTTAGTTGGTGTATCCGGAACTCTTTAGGCTTCTTTGGGCTTTTAGTTGGTCTTTAAGCTTCTTTGGGCTTTTATCCTTTCCACGGGGCCCTCCAACAACAAAAACTACTTTAGTTTTCGGCATATTCAGCTTGACGCTTGAAGCTTGCGAGACTGTCTGTCTCTTAGTAGGGAATGGGGGGATGCATTATGGAGACGACTGTTGGGGAGTATATAGGGACTACCGTGGGGATCTATTGCCCCATTCCCTACTAAGCACCAGACAGCTGTTAGCAAAAGCCTCTGGGACTGCTTGGAGGTTCATGGGTAGGTAGTAGTATTAGGGGGCCCCCTTAAAGGGTACCCCTTCTGAACCCTACGTCTGGCTCTCTTAAAAGGGGCCTTACTGAGAGGGTTTATACCCCCAAGGGTCCCCCTAATCCTAACTCCCATCATGGGTAGTTATAAGTCGGGTTATAAGCAGGGTAACTATTAAATATAACCTCGATTAGGGGACTTATAACTTATAACTCTACTTATAATAACTACTCATGAACCTCCAAGTAGGCCCTAAACCCTAACCCTTGCAAAATCCCTATAGATCCCTTCAAAGGGAACCTTGTAACTACCCATGAACCTCCAAGTGAGATGTCTGTGCCGTGGGGCGTTTGGCAGCCGGCAAGACCGAGAGTCCAGAAGCAGACGCAGCAGGACTCAACGTAGTTCGTGACACCTCACTTGGAGGTTCATGGGTAGTTATAAGGGTTCCTTTAAAGGGATCTATAGGGAGTCTGCAAGGGTATGGGGTTTAGGGCCTACTTGGAGGTTCATGGGTAGTTATAAGTCGGGCATAAGCAGGGTAACTATACTTATAACCCGAATTAGGGGACTTATGTTCGCGACACCTCAAAGCAGAAGCTGGTTTTAAATCGAGGTTATTGAGGGTCTTCTGGGGCTTGGGGCTTAGGGTGAATGTAGGTCCTGACACCTTTGAAAAGCCCAGAGATTGAGGTTGTGCAGAGTCTTTTTGTTAACAGCTGTCTGGTGCTTAGTAGGGAGTGCGTGAATGGATCCCTACAGTAGTCCCTATACAATCTCCAATGATGGTCTCCATAAGCCATTCCCCCATTCCCTACTAAGAACCAGACAGACAGAGGATTTTCAGGATCTTATGCGGCTTATGGCTCTGGGTCAACGCAGTTCTTGATGCCTTTGAAAAGCCGACTTGGAGGTGCATGGGTAGTTATAAGTAGGGTTATAAGTCCCCCAGTTTGGGTTATAACTCTTATAAGTCCCCCAGTTCGGGTTATAACTCTTATAGTTACCTTACTTATAACCCCACTTATAACTACCCATGAACCTCCAAGTTGTTCACATGGCCTCACACAAACAGGGCGTTTACATAGTCTTCTAGGGTTGCTTATAGGTGTTCGAAGGGCTTAAGGTTGCGTATAGCGTTTATGGGTTTAGGGATATCTAGGTTGGGCCCTTAAAGCCTCTGAAAAATATTCGTAAATAGGGTCCTATTAATCCCAATAAGGGAAAATATCAAATGTCCCAAAAGCCTACCTAGATAGTATAGGGCCCTTAATTGTTAGAAAAGGGTTTGGCGGAATCATAGTATACGACTATATACTTATAGCTAGGAACCCTAAGGAACGCTGCGGTAATCATTCCCCATAATCCATTGCTCCCACCGGGCTTGCCCGGGCTTCAGACTCAGGCTTCGGGGGTGTAGGGTGTAGGGCTTCGGGTGTTGGCTGAAGTGTTTAGGGTTAGGAGGATGAGGGTTGATGGAGTTTAGGGTTGGTACTTGGAAGGTCGGGGGACTTAGTAACTGGTGATTTTAGGGACTTATAAGTACGTACCATAACCCCAATTAGGGTCCCTTATAGGGTACTTATAAGTCTAACTTACTACCTACTTACTACGTCCCCTAAAGACCCTCCAAGTAGGGTTGGTAGGGTTTAGGTTTTGGGGCTGGGCCTGAGGGGATAAGGAATTCGAAACCCAAACTTCCATGCGGGGTTGGGCCTAGCTGGGGGCACGGGCTGTATGCAGGCATAATACACAGCTTGACAAGGTGTCAGTGTTTGTGGCGACATGTGATGTTGTTTGGGGCTCATGATATCTTAAGAAGAACGATGGACTGTATGGTTTTAAATGGTTTTGGGTCAATGTTCGGGATCTTTGACAGCGCTGCAGCAGCCAATAGACCTTGAGGACCCTCTTCTAAGCCCCACGGCACCGCGATCCTACTTGTCAAACAGTAAGCTTACATGAGTAGCTTGGCGACGGGGTGGACTTTTGGGGGCCTTTACGATCAGAATAAGGCCTTGTAGGGATGCTTACATAAGAAACCCTAAGGCATCGTATTGACAATGATTCTGGCCCCTATATTGGGTTGCGAGGAAAGAAAGCGGCACACATCTTGGGCGGCGAAGGCCCTAAACGCCAAGTACCGAAACCTAGGAGTAAAACAACCACCCCTTTAATGGGAAGGCTTCAAACATGTTTCTGACCTTTTGGGTGTGTCCCTAAAACCTTAATTACACCTAGACCCTGGTTCCTGAGGAATGCCGGCGACGCGAGAGGGTAGTGGACTTGTAGTGTAGATTCAGGAGTCGGAGTCTAGGGTATCTGCGACTGATGCTTCTAAAACCGGCGGTGTGAACCTAAACCCAAAACCCTAAACCCAAAACCCCAAACCCTAAAACCTAAACCGTTGAAGCCAAGGGGCCGTAGTCTTTCTCGCCATGCCTGCAACTGACGACAGGCGCCACCCTTACACACTGCATCCCAAAACGCCCTAACTGTGAAGCTGCACACCCTGAAGCCCTAATTATCGAGAAGCTCCGAACCCCGAAGCCTGAACCTAAAGTTACTGAAGAATGTAAACCCACCACCCGCAAAATCCCAAATCCTAAACCACCGAAATCCATCATCGCAATCCTGTTGACTGCATCGTCTATGGCACCCGCCTTGCACCTCAAACTTGCGGCGTGTGTGCAGACGTGCATGGCTTTCGGATTTCGAGATTCGATTCTCGACGTCTTGAAGGCGCGAGGTTGTACTATGGGACCCTTAATAATCCTCTCATAAAGCACTACGGTTGATGATTTCAATCCTGCATTACCCATAATAAGGACTATGCCATAATTCCCATAGTTTAGGGTCCTTAAGGTCATGCAGGATTTATACCATCAAGCACTATGTTGTCCCACCAGTGCTCAGACCCCTACATCAGAATCAGAGCCCAGTGTCCAGGTTTATGTCTGCTTGGAGGGTCGGGGGACTTAGTAAGTAGTTAGTAAGTAGACGTATAAGTACCCTAAAAGGGACCCTGATTGGGGTTATGGTACTTATAAGTCCCTAAAATAACCAGTTACTAAGTCCCCCCGACCCTCCAAGTAGAGTTTAGGGCCTCGGTTGTCAGGATTAGTGCTGAGCGCGAACCCTTACCACATTCGTTGAAGCTAAGAACCCGCAAGGTACAGGATTTGCTTTAAACAAAGCTGTTTACATGAAGGCTCATGGGTTGCTTTTTGACTTCACCCAAGGGCCCTGTTCATATGCATCCGTGGCAATTACATGTTATTACGATTACGGTTACTAATACGGTTAATATTATGACGACTCTTCCCCCTCCTCCTCCTCCTCCTCCTCCTCCTCCCTCGTCCTCCTCCTCGTCCTCCTCCTCCTCCTCCTACTATTACTACTACGACTGACCATGACCACTATAACTATGACTATTGCTATTGCTAAGCTACTGTGACGACGAAGGCGACGACGACGGCTACTACTACTACTACTACTACTACTACTACTACTACTACTACTACTCCTGCTGCTGCTACTACTACTACTACTACCACTACTACTCCTGCTGCTGCTGCTACTACTACTACTACCACTACTACTCCTGCTGCTGCTGCTACTACTACTACTACTACTACTACTACTACTACTACTACTACTACTACTATGACCATAACTATTGCTATTGCCGTTGCTCTTACTGTTACTGTTACATCATATTCTTACATTCGTACTCATACTACTTTTACTATTGCACATGGGGCTTCGGACGCAGTACTTCGCAAGCCCCCGAACTCCAAAACCCCAACCGAAGATCCCAAACACTCGAACCGGAAGATCCCAAACCCCCACACCGAGAAACCCGAAGTTTGAGTGGCTAAGTCGGCAGCGGAAGGTCTCCCCAAGACTACCAAGGGTTTAGGGTTTAGGGTTTAGGAATTAGAGTTTAGGGTTTATTAGGGTTTAGAGTTTAGGGTTTAGGGTACCAAGACTCACAAGTGCATTAACCTAAACCCTGAACCCCAAACCCTAAACCGAAGAATCTTCCCGCTACTCCACCTAGGTCGGCGGTGACACACTGGCTGTTTGAGGAACCCTTCAAACACAAGGAACACCCTAAGCGGAGGTAGCCCATGTACCTTCAGCAAATACTCCCTATATACGTACATTGGGCCCAAGGTATATACTGTTTGGGTACCTGGACCCTAAATAACAGAACCCTACTTGTCGGGTATCATGGGGAATTGTTAGCCTTTTGGTTATATAGGAATTATATAGGGGCTATACTACCCAAAAAGGTTAAAGGTTACCTACTCTACTTCTAGGGAACCCAACACAACTGAAACTGAAAAGCATTAGGTGGGACGCTGGGACATTACGGGACTTGCAAATCCTAAACCCGAAACCATGAATCCGTGGCTAAAGCCTGACCCCTCAACCCAGCAGAAGAAAAACACTCGTAAGCCCAACCCCTAAAACCCAACACACTTGCGAGGCCAAGTGCTGCTGAGAAGGGCCCACATGGACCTCCTCACCCATGTAGCCATCCTTCGCCGTCCTTAGGAGCCGTGACTACTTGTAGCCCTCAGGTAGTTACAAGCGGGGTTATAAGTCCCCTACTAGTATGGGTCACAAACTACAAATATAGACAGCCCATGTATAAGCGCACGTATAACTACCCCTGAACCTCCAAGTAGGGCTGTGGATACCGTTTGAGGGGTGCAAGGCAATGGTCTCGAGGGCAGAGAGAACAAGCCGACCACACCCAAATCCAGCTAAACCCTGCTAAACTCTACCTGGACCCCAAAAACATGTAGAATAATCGACTTTTACAGGAGTTGGGCCAATAGTTGTCCTACTCTGGGGGGTCGAATGAATGGTAACATTGACTGGGGTAGTTGCTCTACCGGGAACCACAAAGCCTGCCCAGGCTCGGCAGCGTAAAGCCGGGACCATATTCTTTCATCATGGTCTCCTGTGCCATGATTGGAGGCCCAGGGGACTTAGTAAGTCGGCTTTAAGCAGTGTTGTCAGTATCATAGGGGTAGCTCCATTTAGAGTACTTATAACTCTACTTATAACCTACTTACTAAGTCCCCTGTGCCATGGGGCTGGGGTTTGGAGGCCTCAGGCTCGTAGTGCACGGTTTGTGGAGTCCAAGGTTTGGGGCTTAACCCTGAACCCCTAAACCCCAAAAAAACCCTTAACCCCAAATCCCAGACCCCTAAACCCCTAAACCCTTAACTCTAAACCCTAAACTTTCAATCCGAAACCCAAAGACGAAACGGACATGGATGTGGGCCCCATCCTGAAACCAAAGTCGACCTTATATAGGGACCTCAACAATTAGATTTGGTTTTGGGAGTTTGTCGGGATATATTATCGTAACTACCGTATACTCCGAAATCCAACTCCAGTTCATGAGAGTATAGTTGTGACAAGGAGCCTTACGCAATAACATTGGTAGGTACTTAGGCTCCTATACTATGCCCGACTTGGAGGTTTATGGGCAATTAGTTATAAGTGGGGTTTTAAGTCCCCCAATATGGGTTACAAGTACAGTTACCCGACTTATAAACGCACTTTTAACCACCCATGAACCTCCAAGTGTGGTCTCATGGTTTAGCCAGGGTGTAGTCTTTAAGCATGGAGTTTGGGGTTTAGGATTGAAGGCTCAGGGTTTAGGGTTTAAGGTTGAGGGTTTGGGGTTTAACAGCGGTGCAGCATAGCGAGTCTACATGATTAGAGGCAGGTTTTTGGGCTGTGATGGAACTGCATATGCCGGCGGCTCCAAGTTTACAAATGGACCCTCCATTTCCAGTCCAGGAAGACCGTCTACCTGTTTGCTGTTTGGACTTGCGGTTCGGGTCTCAGGATTTAGGCTCCTAGAGTAAGGGCGCTATTTCTGATCAGTGGCCCTACAAATATCTGTGATCCTAGTCACAGCAAAATTCCTGTTCGTGACAAATACAAGCAGCGGACAATCTTTACGACAACCTTCAAAGGCAAGGTCATTGTTCCCCAAACGCCCAACAATACTGCGTACTTTGTGGAATGCCGTGAATCAGTAGACAATCCGTCTTAAGCCAAGCAAACAGGGTCTACATAGATACAAGTACGTGTCTGTATCCGGGACTGAGACAATCGATTTGCACGTAGTATGCGCCTCAAGTCAAGGAAACGCCCAAAGTCCAAAGCTATAAAGCGCCCACAACCGCGAACGGAAACAGAACACAGCAGCTGAATATGGAAGCCTGAATCGCTAACATGTAGTTGTTCCTTGGGTCTCCTTATTTGAAGGGAACTCCTTCTTTCTGAATTGAAAGTGCACCGACGCCCCTTTGTCTAAAGCAGGAGCAGGAAATCCCCGAACAATTTGGGATCTACCTGGAGATTCATGGGTGGTTGAGAAGTGAGGCTATTTTGGGTTCCATGAACCTCCGAGCTAAGCAGGGCCAGCGTGCCGAATCGAAACTCCCAAACATTGACATCGGAACCTGGAAGTCCCGCCTGCGAAGGTGGATATTGCACGCCCAGCTTGCTCCTAGGCTGGCCCTTCAAAGCCGTTGAAAACCATGCGCAAAAAAAGGATCCTCTCAAACTTATAGTAATGCCCGATGAGAGGACATGTGAAATATCTCAAAGACCTACCTGGGACCTCGGTTCCTTGAAAGCTGGAAGCATGCAGGCCAGTATAGGAAGGCTAGGTTTTGGGTTTAGGGTTAAGGTTTATGAGGGTGTAGGGTTCAGAGTTCAGGGTGTAGTAAAGGGCCCCTTAAAGGATTCTACGCATGATCTATCGGGGTTTAGGGTCCAACTCCGATAGGGCTTTGGAGGGCTTCGGTGGTTCAGGGTGTATGCTTTAGGGATTACTTGAGTCGTTGAGGGCTTTTAGGGTTTGGCGCTTCGGGTCTTTTGGCATGGAGTCTGGTTGGTTTGCATGTTAAAGTTGAAGTTGTCAAGGCTTGGGGATGCGAGAAGCCTCAACTGAAACTTAGCGGCTGAGTTCATAAGCCCCCCCAAAAGTGTACACTTTAAGTTTTATAGTGGGTAGTATTATCCGAAAAAGAGTAAGGTGTATCCACTCAGCTACTCAGGAAAGAGTTGCCGCCTACTCGCTCCATGGACCCGAAACCCTAAACCGTAAATCGGCTGAGGGTTTAGGGTTTGGGTTGCTCTCGGGAAGCACTGAAAACAGAGCTGGTGCAAGGAGGCATTGAGAACAGGGGGAAGGATACTATTCCTAGACTCTCAACCCCTCCACCCTACTTGGAGGTTCATGGTTATAAGTGGGGCTATAAGCCCCCTTATAATATGGATTATAATCATGCTTCCCCTGCTCATCACTTATAACTGCCCATGAACCTCCAACAAAAACCCTCCTAAACCCTAAACCCCTAAACCCAGAACCCTAAACCCACACCCTAGCAGGCAAGGAGCAGAACGCTGGAAGTGCGAACCTGAGCTCTCAGGGTTTAGGGTTAAGGGCGCAAACCTAAGCCCTAAAGTGTAGGGTAAACGGTTTAGGCTTATACCTCAACACCAACTAACGTGCCCTTTTAAGCACACATTGAGCAACTTAGGTGCTGAGTACCTTGGCCCAAAAAAAGGTAGTCTTTTTTCAACTAACTAGTAAGGTTAGACAAACTTGATGGACGGTCTAGGAAGGCAGCCGGTAAGTAAGGATTTGCAGGCGCGGACTTAGGAAGGCATCGCCGGCTCGTATGCCGTTGATTGCACATTCTGCTGAAGGCAACCTAACTGTGGTGCATAGTTCTCTCTTCTCGTCATCCAAGTTTTAGGGTTCAGGGATCTCAAAGGGCTGTTTCAATGATTCTGTTCCCGTAAGATCCCGCTAGAATCGCATGCGTCGGCTTTGCGTACTTCAGCTTTCCTTCCTTTTCTCTCGGGCTCAGATTTAGGGTTTAGGGCCCTGGTCGTGGTGGTATACTAGACCCAAGAGTAACCTAGGAACAAAAAGGGTGCCCTTTTTGGTTTAAAGGGGCTTATAAGGGGACCAGAACCCAAAAAAAAGGGAATAAGGGCCTACTCCAGGTCCTAGTATATTATGTCTTGTAGAAAACTCTCAGGTGATCCCGGTTTCCCTCACACGAAACAGAACTCCAAGAGAATCATAAACTGAAACTACCAGCCCAACCCTAAACCAGCCCCTGAAACGGAGCCTTTCCGATGAGCATCCAGACGTGGACAAAAACGAACACTCTAACACCTAATGCAAAGGCCTGTGCAATTTGAATAGGGTTTGCGGGTATGTTATACTCTTTGGCTCCCATAAGGAACCGGCCCAGCAATCATTGGCAGTTACGGCTTCTATATTGCATTGTTGTTACAGCTCAGTACTCAGGTTATAACTAAACTTAAACTGCATGGGATATCACTAACCCTAAACCAGCCTAAATCCCCTCTGGCCCCGCTAAACAACCCAAAACCCTAAAACATAAACCTTCTGCCCGCGCTGCGCTCAACTCTAGAGCATTGAGCATCGTGTTCTCCTGGTTCCTGCGGCACAGTTTGCAGGGCCCTGAAATAGGACTTAGGGTTTTGTAATGTGTGTACTCTGGTGACGAAGTGTTTGAACAGGGCTCAGAAAAGCAGGAATGAGTAGAGAAAGAGAAGGGAAGCCAAATGCGCTAGCATGATGCCTCGCACCTTTATGTATAGTGCCTAAACTGAAACTGTGTTAAGGTTCATGCAACTTAGTAAAGCTGGGTTATAAGTACCGCTTTCAGGGTAAACTGATGCTAAGCACCTCAAGCGGAGCTGCAGATAATTGTAGGTATAGACAGCATGTTTTGCGAAGTCCCGAGTCCTCAAGTGGCGTGATAACCAACCTAGTATACAGCAATTAACCCTATGCCTCCAGGGACCTTATTATGGGGTCCTTAAGGGGTCTAAGGCCCTAACTATGGGGTCCTTGGAGGGATAGGGTAAGGGATAGAACAAAGTTTTTGGGCACAGTATAGTAAATTTTTAAGGAGGACCCTAGGAACAATGCTGGCAACGAGTCCGGCGTCTCTAGTAGCAGAATTGAACGAGACCCCGGGGTTTACAGTCTAGAGCATAGGAGACAGCTGAAGCTTTAAAGTTTGCTTCGGGGTTTCGCTTGGTTACTGAGTGGCATGTAAAAGTTTAGTAATGAGTTTGTGGTGTGGGGTTTCGGCTTCAGTTTAGGTAGAATCTCAGCGAGTGGGTTCTCTTTGTCTTCAATAACCATGCCACCAAAAACTTCAAACTGTCTATTCGATAGGAAATAGATAAGGTCAAAAACATAGTATAGCGGCCTTAACAACATAATTTAGAATAGGGTTTTGAAGCCCTAAACCCATTATACTATAATTCTGATAAGGAACCACCAAAATACTGTTGGTAATTATTTAGGCCTCTATATTAAGTCTCTTCCGTTGGCTACCTGAGGGTTCAAGAAATCATCCGCGGACTTTGGTGGTGAACACTCGGCGCCTGAGTTGCGCGATGTCGCCCCGCTTGACTTTTCCTTGGGCGAGCAGAAATCGTGCTGCTGAAACAAATCCTGCAACGCAAGCCCAAACAATCGTTAAAGCAAAGCACGTCGGTTAAAATGGAACACTATCTCCTACACACCAAGCTTCAAATTCCAACCCTACGCGACCCTGCAGTGTGCTGGGATATCTCTCAGCTTGTGTGGGAGAGTCCAATCCAACATTCCAGTTCCCAATCACGGCAAACCGTCATAATAGCAAAGAATCCTAATCAGCAGTGATAGTAAGTGGCTAGCTCTCCAAACTGTGGGGGGACACTTTACGGCCCGTGTTCATAAAGGTGCCTTTTTGGGGGTTCCTAACAAGGACCCTAATTCACAGAACTTCCCATGTGCTCCCAGTAGATATCGTTCAGCTTCACAGAGGGTTGATATCTAGCGTCATTACTCTTTCAGGTCCCGCAAGACCAACCTGACCATGGTGTTGGTGCCCTAGTTCCGTGATGATATGTGGAGTATCTAGGTTTTCTCTCTCACCAAAGGGCGTTGCTGCAGTTCGTTAGCCAAGTCGGTCACCTCTCAGAGAGCAGGAGCTCGGATGTCAGTATAGGGTTTCGGGTCTAGGAGCTCAGGGTTTAGGGCTTCGGCTTTAGGTTTAGGTTTCGGGTTTCGAGTTTAGGGCCTCTACAGGTCTGAACAATTTCAAGAGATATTTCCGAAGGTAACATCTTGTCCCCTGCGCAAGCCGAAAGAACACCTACGGAACCCAGAGCCGCCACACATGTACATACATATAAAAAATTTAACATATATATGTATGTGTATATACATATACATACACATATACATACATATATATATATATATATATACACACATATTTACATTGTCCTGGAAAAAGGTGAGGTTCTAGAGACCTAGTTCCACCATGGCAGTATTACAGTATATATGGAGCCTGTGGGTTATAACTAGTGTAGATAGACTCCAAAACCCATTGATTGAGGAATATGCCTAGATTCAGAATAAGGACCCAGTGATGTTTTAAGGCACGTCTTTTCCCGAGCCTCAGCGGGAAGAAACCCTGTGAAGCGGGATATTACAGAGACGGACTGCCCCCATCCGCCGCCAAGGCGTGATCTTTAAGAACCCCAAGAAGTCTTGCTTCGTTGACACACTGCTTGGTGCTTGTGATTTCGAGACTTTGGGATTTGAGGTTTAATTCGGGCCAATAATTAGGGTTTAGGGTTCAAGGTTCAGGTTTAAGGCTTGGGGATTTAGGCTGATGATTCAGGGCTTCAGGTTTACAGGGCGTGGGGATTTTGAGCCCCTACCAGAAGAACAATTACGACACTCTTATACTAAGAGGACTGAAACTGGACTTTGAAGTAACAAGGGAGAAAAACAAGTAGAGACCTTCATTTCATAATGCTTCCTTTAAGGAACAGGTACCAAAAAAAAGTGTTCCTCCAAACCCAAGTGAACTGGTGCTTACTGGTTTGAAGCTCATGACCTAGTCGCCCGAATAAGTGAGGATTCTGAAATCTCAGCATAAGTTGGCAGCCTAGACCCCTAAACCCTAAACCCCTAAACCCCTAAACCCTGAACCCTAAACCGCAGAGCCGTCCGCCTGCCTTCGTGCCCTGGCATCCGCAGCCCGGAACAATGCCCTGGGTCTGGGGCTCGCAGGGTTAAGAGCAGTTTAGGGTTTAGGGTTTAAGGGCTTCGGGGTTTAGGCGAGTTTAACTGTTTTAAGGTTGAAGTTTTTGGTTCCGCCAGAGACCGGATGTGGAAAACCGACTTGAGTCGTATTCATTCAGACTCAGCATACCCCAAATGCTAAACGTTGAACAAACCCACAAAACCCTTATTCACAGGGACCGTAGTGAATGGAATAGGCTTTTGGGTGTATAATACACCGTTAATACAGGCCGAGAAGGTGAAGACCAATGCAGATTGTTCAGACCCTACACTACCTGTGGCAGGAAGTGCGACCGACCATACGTGTTCAATGCACTGAATGCACTTCTTGTTCTGGATAAGCCGTTTTCATCATAGAAGATCCTAGCCGTAATCCGTAACAGTGTTTCAGCACGAAAAGAAGCCAACATGGTGACTTTGGCGGGCTGTGCTGCTTGGGGCTCATCGAATCTTCAGGCCCAAGCGATGTAGGCTCCTGAATTTATTCATAGGAAAACAGTGGTGCTGCGCCCATCCGAATCCTGCGTGTCTACTCTGAATGGTTCTTGGCTTGGTACCTAGCACCCTACTTTTCTGAAGCAGGACGCTGAACCTTCACCCTAAAGCCTTGCTTCAAAGGGTCATGGACATAGTACTAAACAGGGTTACAGAACCCAACTAATGTAATTACGTATAACCTTACTTACTAAGTCCCTTAAACCTTAAAACCCTGCAGAACCCATAAAGCACTCTTACAGAAACCCTGTTATGATGCCTCATGATCTTGTAAACACGGGAACACAAATACGACGACGACAGCTGCGAAGTCGCCGTTTTTGTGCCCAGTCTGATGTTTCCAGGTATTATATAATAAAGAATAGTAACACTAGTAACAACAAGGTTAGTAGTGATGATAGTTATAACAACAGTAACAATAATAGCAATAATAAGAACAATAATCACAATAATTCACCAATAACAGTACTAACCGTAACAGTAGTGATAACAGTAACGATAACAACAACGACAAGAACAATCGTACCAAAAGTTCTTGACAATCATCATCATCATCATCATTGATCGATTCAGGTTTGAGGATTTCTGGCTTAGAGCTTCGATTTGGGGGTTAAGAGTTTTGGGTCTTGGCAACATGATCGACAGCTGCTGTTGCATCACCAACACAACCGTTGCCGCTACAACACATCCTGAACCCTAAACATGTTAAGCACTAAAGTCACTGCGAATATGATCGAATGTCCATATCTTCGACCTTTGGACGGGAGCCGTTCCTTCCTAAATGCTGGCATGTGGCATTCACGCTCCTGGCCGACCACCACATACCGTTGAGTCTACCGTTTCGGGCTTGACGCTTTCGATGACTTGGCAGGATGTGAGGCCCAGAAGTAACTTCATCCACACCTGCTTGGAGGTTCATGGGTACGGTGGATGATATAAATCCTGCATTACCCATGATAAGGAATATACCACACTTCCCATAGTTTGGGGTCCTTAAGGTAACGCAGGATTTATATCATCAACAGTAGTTATGAGTGGGTTTAGCTTTATGGAGCTAAGGAACCAAGTTGCTATGGCTCAGGTCTTAGGGGTTTAGTGTTTAGGGAGAAAGCTTCTGAGTTGTTTTAGCAGCCCGAAGGTCTAAGGAACTCGTACCGAAAAGCTCCAGAAAACTTGACAGATTACGGGGTTGGAACTGGGAGTTAGGATTAGGGGGACCCTTGGGGATACAGACCCTCTCAATAAGGCCCCTTTTAAGAGAGCCAGAAGTTGGGTTCAGAAGGGGTACCCTTTAAGGGGTCTCCCGAATAATACTAGCTAGGAACAGGACTGAGGATGCCAAGCTGGATCTCTAGGAGGATACGCAAGTGCTGGTTTAGGGTTTAGGGTCCTACAACCTTCATAAGGGGTTTAACGGCTGTAATCGATCGGGCTCTGCTGAGCCATTTTACCTAAGACCCTCGCTACGTAACAAGGAAAAGCCTGAAGTTTCCCAAGGGTCTATGGCAGTCTGCGGCTTGGGGTTTCGGGGTCTACCCATAGGCCCCAAAGTATTTCCTTTTTGGGGTTCGTATATAGAATCCCATAAGGTAATCCCAAAAACGAACTAGTTTGGGGCCTTAGGGTACCTCCACCTGTGCCCAGAACACCGAGCTTTTTGATGAACGACATGCAGAAACTACAATCAGGAACTCTTAAAGGTAGGTTGTTTAGGGTTTAGGGTTTAGGGATTTAGGGCTTAGGGTTTAGGGGTTTAGGGGGGCTACCGGTAGTATTAAGAGGCATGATGAGACTTGGTCTGAAACCCGGTTGATCCATCTGTGGCGGCCATCAAGGCAACCGACTCGGGGGGAAATCCATAAGCTCGACATTACAGAGATGCCGGTAGAATACAACGCAAACCACGAATGGAAAACACATCCAAACAATTATGTGCATATGTATATATGTATACAGGTGTATACATATGTAAGTATGTATATATATATATATATGTATATATATATATATATATATAATACATTTATCCATTTATGTGTTCTCGGTATAACACTCAGTCCTACGCCCTAAACCTCAAACCCTAAAGCCCTGACGACACTGATAGGTTCCTATTTCGGAGCACTCCTGCAGCAATAGCAACTCCTCGCTTCATCGACCGAGCTGAGCTGTGCATAAGGCATGCCTTTCTGCAAGGGTCCAAAGGACCCTTTAGGGTTAAGGGTTTCGGGTTTAGGGGTTTAGGGCTTGGGGTTTAGAGGTTTATTTAGGGGTGTACGGTTTAGGGCTTAGGGCTTAGGATAGTAGTTATGTAGGTTACATTTTGGAGAGTATATGATAGTTAGGTAGTTGGACCCTTAGGTTTGGTGCTGGACAATGAGCCCTGGGGCTTGGGTCTGTCCGGGCAGTTCCTTGAATTCGAGCTCCTTGTTGAGTCACCGAAATACTATATCATTGTTGGGATAGGATTTAAAATGGACTTTCATATTCCTTATTGGGTTTAAGTACCCGTAAAAATTGTAAAATGTTACCCAACTATGACAAAGAATAGTACGGCACCCTTCTCGAAAGGAGACTACTACTAGAAGCGATCCGAGCTCATAGGGCACCAGAGAAAAGCACATAAGCAAAACCGAGGATAGTGATATCCCATATACATCCCCTTATAATGAAGCCCAATAAGGTAGGGATATCCCTAAAAAATGTTTATGCTTATGTGCTTTTTGGGTCCCTAAGCTTAGAGAACTGCCCACATTACGGATTTGGGGCTCAGCTTCGACCTTTTGTTGCTACTGTACCCCATCATGCGGAGTTGACATTCAGGTGTAGGACCTTCTGTGGGATGACATCCCGACTGGAAACCCCCCAACTAACCATAACACCGAAACCCTAAGCCCTAAACCCGAAGCGCGAAGACAAAAAATCGAAGCCCTAAATCCTAAACTTCGACAGCTTAGGCAGTTGTGGGAAAGCCAGTTTCCTGTTGCAAGCGCTAACTCATCACCCACAGTTCACTTTTAGGTTTTATTTCGGGACCTACTTCAATCGAACGGATTGTTCGGGTATACTGTATACACTGTTAATTACTAATACCAACATACTTACGAGTAACTACTCGAACTTATTCAGGCCCCTATATTGGGCAGCCCTAAAGTTTGGGGTTTGGGGTTTACTAATTTACGGTTTTGGGGAAAGTCGGGGGTGAGATAGAGCGGCTAACTACAAAGCTAAATGAAGCTGCAACAAACCTGCAATCGCTACATGATTTGATCTGCCTTTTCAGGCAGAGCCTTGTCAGCCCTGCGCGGCTTCCGCCAGGTCAGGCCTCGCACGAAGCGTGCTCGCTTTGCGGTGTCGGGTTTTTGAGACCAGACAGGCGATGATTCCGGGTTGGCGGTGTTCGCGTTGTCCATGGCATCTTTCGTACCTGCCGCACGCGGCATCGGTCGCAAGCGAATGGCATGACTTGTGAGAGGAAGTTCGAGATATCGAAGTGTGATCGGGCTGACGATTCCGCAGAGCGCAGAGGACGTCATGCGGCAACGGTGTGCCTGTGTCCTCCGCCACCGAACACAGCTCATCCAGTTTTGCAAGCCTGTACCTACTGTGGAACATCTTCCTCAGGCTGGTATTCCAGCAACCAAGTTCTCGGCCACTAATCAGAAGACGAAGAGGACAGCCCTACTGGTTGTACTGGTGATAAAGTCCGACGCATGAATGGGTGCATCTGTAAAGACCAAAATCCTACTTGTCGGGTATCAGAACTAAAGGTTAGCCTTTTGGTTATGTAGGGATTATATAGCGACTATACTACCCAGAAAAAGGTTAAAAGTTGCCTATACTCTACTACTAGGAAATCGAAACAAGCCAGCCCTCAAATTCCCATCTAGCCAATGGTCGTTCCTCATGCCATAGAGCATGATCTAAGCCCTGAACCCCTAAACCCTAGACCCCCTGAATATGTAAACCCTGCATTACCCATAATAAGGAATATACCAGTATTCCCATAGTTTCGGGTCCTTAAGGTATTCCAGGATATATATCATCAACCCTACGCCGCAAACCCGTAAACCCTGGACCCCAAACCCCCAAACGCTCTTACATTATCAACCGTATAACCTGTTTTGCGAAGTGTAAAACGGCGCCGAAGAGCTGGTCAAGTTCTCACCGATGCAGTTTGTGCTTTTCGTGATGACTTTGTCATTCTCCAAGGTCATGACGTCCTGTTTAAAGGCTTATAAGGTTTAGTTTAGGACCTTTAGGAGTTAAGGGCTGAAGGTTGAGTTTAGGGTTGCGTGTTTAGGGGTTTAGTGTTTAGGGCTTAAGGTTTGGTTTCCCACCTTCAGGAGTTTAGGGTTTAGGGCGCGGTGTTTAGGGGTTTAAGGCTTAGGGTCTCTAGTTTGGGCTTTACTGGAGCTCTCACAGGCACCTAAACATGAACTTTCACGAGACTCGACAACTAGGCTGTTCAGCACCCCACTGAGAAAATGTATATATGTTTTATAAACTTCTCATTTTATAGTAGCAACCCTGAAACCTGAAAGTAAAAAAGTGTACCACTGAACAGCCTGGACAAGGAATGATACACAGTTCAGTTCTGCGGGTTTGCTAAGGGTTGGGGTGTAAGCCATTGCTTGTCCTGCTCTCAGCTGCGCTTCTGCGAATGATGCGGTATTCGGGCACCGGTGTTAACAAACGTAGAGTGGAAAACCAAGAGCCTCGAACCCTGAAACGCTAGTATATAGGAACTTGATTCAGAAACCTTGGATCTTTATTAGGGTTCTTTCCATGAGTCCTCATATATCTATTCATATATATATATATATATATATATATATTGGGGCTCATACGGCCAGGGCTTCTTAATCGGCTGTCTACATTAAACATTAAACCCCTGAACCCAAAACTCCAAGCTCAAACGCAAAAACACAAAGAGGGGTTCGAAGCTTCATGGGTAGTCCAGGTTTTAAAGTTTTGCGTACCCACCGTGTTGACTGCACAAGAGCGACACATAATACCGTAAGTGCACAATAAGTATATATGCATGTATATGAACATATGTATACATACCGACATTGCTACATACATACATATATATATATATATATATATACATATATGTATATGTATACGCACCCACATGTATACATGTATCTTTAAAAACCTTATACAACATAGATATGTAGAAACAAGCACCATGACGAACCTGAACCTGGAACCTTAAACCCTTTATGTTTGCTGGGCTCTCTCTACAGCCCTGAGTCTTTTGAGGGCTCAGGTTAGCCCTTAGAGAAGTCCTCGTCGTTTTGATCCCTCTTCACAAAAAGGAACTCCTGAACCCCCCCAAACTCCAAAGCTATAAACATCAGGTAGACCCTGAAACAACTCGTTCCAGGATCAAAAACTTTGGCAAACTGAGCAACAACGCTAGTAAGATTTACCTAGGTTGCGCACACACCCTACTTAAGGCCATGGGCCTTAAACCGCAAACCCCAAACCGAGGTACTTGTAGCCTTACTTGCGGCGTCTCCCCTGATCCAATAGGCCCTAACCCCCACACCCTTGACCCTAAATGCCAGACCCGCAACTGAACCCTACTAGCAGGTTCATGGGTAGAGATAAATAGGGTTATAAGTCCCCTGATATGAGTTCCCTTACTAATAACCCCACTTATAACTACCCATGAACCTCCAAGTAGACCCTAAACCCTATACCCTTATAGAATCCCTATAGATCCCTTTAAGCCCTTAGAGGAACCCTGATAACAACCCATGAACCTCCAAGTAGGGTTTAACGTCCAGATCGAGGATCCCGAAACCCCAGTAACCCAGACCCCCGAAAAATCTAGGAAGTAGATCCCTAAATTTGGGGCCCTATACTTTTGGATCCTCCCGAAAGTCTGGGTAAGTAGAGGCAAGTTCTCCTTCTGGGTGCCGCAGCAGAACAGCGACCTATGTAGTTTTTGCAAAGCAACTTTCAGTTGGGGCTCAGATCTTCGGACGGTAGGTTTAGGAATTACTTGGAGGGTAAGGGGACTTAGTAACTGGTTATTTTAGGGACTTATAAGTCCTATAACCCAAATTAGGGTCCCTTTGAAGGATACTTATAAGTCTGCATACCACCTACTTACTAATTCAGTCCTCCGACCCTCCAAGTAGGTAGGGGTTGAGGGGTTTAGGGTTGTGGGATTAGGACTTCGGGCTTTGCGGTTGAGGTTTGGGGTCTCTGACTTACGGGCTTGGAGTTGGGACATTCAGGGCTTCGCGTTTCAGTTTAAGGCATTGGGCTTAGGGATCGAGGGATTCGGGCTACGGGAATGGGGTAGAGGGCTTATGGTTAACCCCCAGTAGCCTACAAAAAAGAAAGGATCAAATTTTTGGATTGGGTGGATTGCTTTCTGGAGCCTTATAAGCTTATAAGGTGTCCAAAATTTACGAAAAGCCCACTTAACAATCCGTCTGAGGCAGCCCATTACATCTAAGATTAAGGTTAATGTAGGGGCCTTAACAATTAGAATGGGGTGTCGAGGTATATTTTGTAATTATAGTAAGGAACCCCAAAATGGTATAGGAAATTACTTAGGTTTCTGTAGTAGAACTGTCCAAAGCCCGAGGCCTAACAAAATCTAGGCCCCCCGCGCGCAGTAGTTGGTGACCTCGAACTCCCGCGTCGGAAAATTTTCCGAAGGCTTGGAATGAGGCCTGATACTCCACATCAGCAGGGTTGCTATAAGGGGTAGGGTTTATGGTTTAGGGTTGTTTATGGTTTAGGGTGTAGATACTCGACTGAAGAAGGGTTGCTTGAAGGGGCAGGGTTGAGGGTTCAGGATGGTTTAAGGGCTTAAACACTCCACTAAAGAAGGGTTGCTTCAAGGAGCAGGGTTTAAAGCTTAGGATGGTTTAAGGTTTAGATACTCTACCAAAGTTTGCTTGCTTTACAGGGTAGGCGTTACGGCCGCGCTCAACGGATGAAAACCCTAAACCCTAAACCCTATAGGCTTTAGGGCGGCTTTCACCGGATGAAAAGACACGAGACTGCCCTGATGGACTCAACACCCTTGGAACACCCTTACCATGGTAACGGGTTTCCTTTAAAGGGATCCTTAAAAGGGTTCCTTAAAGGGATCAAAAGTAGGGTTCTATAATGTAAGGGCCATAAAGGGCAGAACAGGTTTTCTGGACTTTGAAGTAACCAGGGAAAAAAGTATAGACTTGTATTTCTCAATGGTTCCTTTAAGGAACAGGTACCCACAAAAAGACATTCAAGTATGGTACTCCAAACCCAGGAATATTTGCGGTATCTGATCTACTACATACCCTATAAACCCTAAAGGCTCCTAAAGACTCCAGACCCTAAACCCGAACTCTGCAAGACCCAAACCCTAAGGGTCCATGTACCCATATAGAGATACATGAGCCCCAAAGTACCTATATAGGGACAACATTAAGGCCAATGTATACACTATATGAGTACATGGACCCTTGGGGAAACACACAGGCCTTTACACCCTAAGCCTAACAGACCCCCGAGCCGCACTCCCCATCCTGCGAAAGCCCTAAAACACGCGCGCTCTCTGCTTCTCTTGACCCAGAGAGCCCAATACCCTTTAACTGAGGAATATAGCCTAAATCATAATAATTGAAGCCCTATATAATTTAAGCCATATTCCTTAATTAAGGGGTATTGGGCTCTCTGGGGACAGGAGGGCTAAACAGTCCGTAGTTGCTTGGAGGTGCGGTTGAACCCCGAACCACATCAAGAAGACCAGAAGCTGTAGTAGCCCGACAGCACATTAAAACCCTCTGAGACGCTGAAATCGCTAGGAGCCAAGAAACTCCAAACCCCGAATATAAAACACTACGACTGAAACGATACCAAACTTCAAACCCAAGAACCTTAAGCCCTAAACCCTAAACCCAAGACTCCTAAGCCCTGGGCCCAAGAACCCTAAGCCCTGGGCCCCGACTCCCCCCCCTCCCTAAACCTAAACTCGTTTAACAACATCTTGAAACGAAGAAGCAGGCCCCTAAACCCAAAAGATCCCTGACAGAGCCCCTTTAAAGAGCCCGGTAAACCATCTTAGACCCTTATAGAACCCCTTTGCAGAGCCCTGTGACACATGGGAGTTTCCAGAAAATAGGGGATCCAAATATAGCACCCCAAATAGTAGGATCCTTGTTATAAGGACCCCAAAACACGCTACCCAAAATTTTCGGAAACTCTAAACACTTCTAGAGCCCTTTCAAGGAACCCTTATAATAGTATCCTTGTAGTAACTCTTGAACTGAAAGCAGCCTTTATAGTACCCCGATAGTAACCCTTTAAACGCAGGTATAGAGCCCCTTTACAAAGCCCTGTGACACATCTAACATAGATCCCTTGAAAGAACCCACAAAGGATCCCTTTAAAGGAACCCCTAATTTTCGGAAACTCCCACCCTTTCCGAAACACTAAACCCTAAACCCTGAAGGAACCCCTTTACAAGCCCTGCGACACACTGGACTTTGAAGTAACCAGGGAGAAAAAAGTATAGACTGTTATTTCATAATGGTTCCTTTCAGGAACAGGTACCCCAAAAAAGTATTCAAGTATGGTGCTCCAAACCCAGGTAGTAGTACTACCCTAAACCCTAAACCCCTAAATCCCCAAACCCTCAACCCCTAAACCCAAAACCCAAACCTCCAAATCCCTAAACCCCTACAACCCTACACCCCTAAACCCCTAAATCCCCAAACCCCAGTAGGGTACTCCAAACCCAGGAATATTTGCGGTATCTGATCTACTACATACCCTACTTGGAGGGTCGGGGGACATAGTAAGTAGGTAGTAAGTAGACTTATAAGTACCCCAAAAGGGACCCTAATTGGGGTTCTGGTACGTATAAGTCCCTAAAATAACCAGTTACTAAGTCCCCCGACCCTCTAAGCACTTTAAGCCCTAAACCCTGAACCCTATACCCTTATAGAATCCCAGTCCCCCAACCCTGAACCCTAAAAAGGACCTAACCCAGGCCCATCTGAAACCAACGGACCGGGACCTGATGGGAGGCAGCCCCATCTGGCTAGGAGGGTACTGCCTTCAGCGTCACAGGCGTCCCTTTTAGGGTACTTATAAGTCTGCTTACTACCTACTTACTAAGTCCCCCGACCCTCCAAGTACCCGAATCAGACATCATCTGGAGTCTGAGGAGGGTACTGCCTTCAGCGTCACAGGGATTTAGGGGTTGTTGGGGTTTAGGGGTTAGGGTTTAAGGGCTTAGGGGTTTAGGGTATAGGGTTTAAGGGCTTAGGGTTTTGGGATTTAGGGGTTGTGGGGTTTAGGGGTTTAGGGGTTTAGGGTTTTTTTTTGGGGGGGGGTTGGGGGGGGGGGGTTTTAGGGTTTAGGGGTGTTGGGGGGTGTTGGGGGTTTAGAGGTTGAGGGGTTTTGGGGTTTAGGGCTTAGGGTCTTTTTGTTGTAGTGCATTAGGCTAATTGGCATTAGGGTTTAGGGTTCAAGGTTTAGGGGTTTAGGTTTCGGGGTTTAGGCTTTCAGGGCTTCGGGGTTTAGAGTTTTGGGCTTCAGGGGTTTCGGGGTTCAGGCTTTAGGGTTTTCTTTTGTAGGATTTAGGGTTCAGGGTTCCCCGAGTTCTCTCGGCTTCGGGGCTTTGGGGAATAATGTATGGTTTTTTAGGATATGTTGGGATATGTTATATTGCCCAAAAGACGGAAGGGACGACTAGTTCAAGCTTCTATCTCATCTTAACCGGTGTTGCTGTGCAACAAGGTGTCGGTTTCAATCGTCCCCAAACTCATGTATTATTGGGGCTCTAGAAGAAACAATAAGGGAAACTAAAAGTTACACCCAATCGAAACCTAGTCAAGCATCTAGGCGTGTTGAGGATTTAGTGAGTTTAGTGTGGCCTGGAGTTTCCGGAGAGTTTGAGCTTCAAGCCTCATGTTAGGATTACCACAAGCCCATTATGGTTTGGGCCTTGAGGGTTACAGGTCTACGGTTTATTGGCTCAGGGTTTAGAGCTTGCACCAACACAAATATGAGTTGCTTTATGACCTCGTGGATCTTTTTAGCTAGAAGTACCCCGAAAATTGCCAAGGACCACCCAACCTGTCGTCTCGGGGCCAACTTAGTGGACATGAAAAATCTGCGTGGAGGGCGTGCCGTCGGGCGCGACCCTCGGTCGCTGTGAACACCAAATTCGTAGTCTCACGACTCCATGCTCTAAACGGGGCAGTCCGCACAGAGCGGGCTCTGCAAGTCAGCCAAGCATGTGCAGACTGCAATGTCGCAGCACTGATCGCCCCACCTTATCCAGGCTCTTTCGGCACAGGGCTGTCCAAGCTCCCTCGTGCGCTCGCTGAGACATGCATGCATGGCAATGCAAACTTAACTTCTCTACTTGGAGGGTCGGGGGACTTAGTAAGTAGGTAGTAAGTAAACTTATAAGTACCCTAAAAGGGACCCTAATTGGGGTTACGGTACTTATAAGTCCCTAAAACAACCAGCTACTAAGTCCCCCTAGAAACCCCTGTAGATCCCTTAAAGGAACCCTTCAAGGAACCCCTAAAGGAACCCCTTATAGAAACCCCCTACCAGTTACTAAGTCCCCCGACCCTCCAAGTATAGAAACCCCTATAGACCCCTTAAAGGAACCCTTAAAGGAACCCCTTATAGAAAACCCTACTAGAAAACCCTACCAAGACCTTCCAAGTATCCGAAAGATTCGAGACTTTCAGCTCGAAACTTGTTGCAACAACGAGGACTGCACGATGACACCGAGTTCACTGAGCCCTTCGCAAGCAAAACAAATCACGAAATCTCCAATATCCCTGAATTAAGGAATATTCCTTTATTAAATCAGATTAGGGATCCTACTATAATTTAAGGTATATTGCTTGATTAAGGGGTTTTGGAGTCTCTGGGCAATCACGAAATCTCCAACAGTGCGGTATCAGTCTTACCGTCCCTCATGTAGCAAGGGTCGCAGGAAAAGGGAGTGATGAAGTGACTAACGTCTCGGGTTTGGGCGGTTGAAGCCTTGGGATGCTTGAGGGGTTCAAGCAAGTTCAAGAACCAAGCAAACCATAGCAACACATTTCCAAGGTACACAAAGAGCCATTTAGGATTTGCAGCCCTTGTTCACGTAATTCTTGGGGCAAGCTACGGTTTACGGTTCAAGGTGTTCGAGCGTTGTCCGTGCAAGTGTGGGTTGGGGTTGTGGGTTGAGATCTAGGGTTTAAGGCTAGTAGGTTGACATTTGGGTGGTTGAAAAAATTCTGGTCCCTTTTTGGGTCCCTTATATAATACGGCACCTAATATTTAGGGTACCCAACAAAGGACCCTAAGTTTGACTGCCACCCATCTGAAAGTAAGAAAAAGGCAAGCTAATATCGACAATTGGGCGCCACTTTCTCTCTTCTTCAGCAACCGGGCCCCAAAAAGTTCAAACTTTCTAAGATAGAGCTAACATAGAAGGCCAAAAAGTTTAAAGTTCCCCCGTTCACTATGTAAGCTTTAAGATGCAAAAAGTTATGGGCTGAGGGTTTAAAGTGGACCTGGGGTGCTAGGGTTCAGGAACCCCTAAACTTCTAAACCCTGAACCCCTAAACCCCTAAACCTACACTAAAAACCCAAAAGTCTCAAACCTTAAAGGTCATGTATAAGGAATCCCAGCACGGATTCCCTCTATTCCCCACCTTAATCCCAGTGACCCACACCAAAAATCGGCGCCACTGCCCCCCCCCCCCCCCCTCCCCTCAAAAATGGAAACGTGTCACTGAGCTCCAACGTACGGCGGTGTATTCTCGCCCCCTCCAACCTCCCCCTCCCCCCCTCCCCCCCCCCTCCTAAGCTCGCTGACAGGTGCGAGCTTTTGTGGAGTTTTCGACGACACGCATCTTTATGTGTTGGGGCTCGCCTTTAAGGCTGCAGTACCAAGCGAGCATGCCGCCGCTTGCGAGAGTCTTGGTATCCAGTGTTTCGGAATGACGACACCAAAATTCGTACTGATACTACCACTACTAATACTACTCACAATCATCCTGCTTCGTGTTGCTATGAACATTACTTTTACTATAAGCGCGATTCCAACTGTTACTTTTTTCCTACAAGAGCTTGCTGCAGATAGTAGCCACTCGCCGCATGCGCGTACAGCCGGGCCGAGGCGGACGACGCGCAGCGTTTCAAATTAAGCAAATCATCATATCAAGCCTGCCATTTCTGCTTGGAGGTTCATGGGTAGATATAACAAGGGTTATAGGCCCCTTAATATGGGTTCTAGTTACAGTTACCTTACTTATAACCCCACTTACACCTACTCATGAACCTCATTGAAGGCCCTAAAATAGTATAGGTAACTATCAAAGCCCCTGTATTAGCTCTGTTCGAAGTTTTCACTGCGGGGTTGTAGGCTTTAAAGACCTTACTAGAACCCCAACCCTTCCTCGGGAGACTCACTAGCCTGAGTATAAGGGCCTTAATGAGCAATACACAATAATAGCAGCTTCAGAAAACGACTCTACCTTCGATTTTGGGTATATTCCAGCAGATTGTATCAGGCTGCTAAGGGATGTTCGGACATAGAGTTTCCGGATCCTGAACAGTAGGAAACTTCTTAGTGCCATGAATAACCGAATCAGACATCATCTGGAGTCTGAGGGGGAAACACCCGCTTCTCATTAAACTGCTCGCCCGTACGTAGTACACTTGAACTCCAAAACCTGAAGCCCAAAACCCTACCCTCAACCCTATACCCTAAAGCCCTAAACCTGCACAACATGAGGCGAGTCGCATGTCCACGCCGAGCTCGTGCTGGACCACTTGCATCCTTGGAGGTTCATAGCTCATAAGTCTAGGTACCGTACTTATAACCCACGTACAACTACGCATGAACTTGCATGCTCAGTGTCAGGAGGAATCCTTGCCTTGGGCTCTTGGGTTTAGGGGTTTAGCTGTTCAGGGGTTTAGGGTTAGGGGTTTACGGTTTCTTGGGTTTAGGGTGTAGAGTTTAGGGGCTCCTTATAGACTCTACAAAAAAGTAGGATTTGGTAGGTTAAGGTAAACCAGTCCTTCTCAAGAGAGAGAGGTCCATGAACCCGGGGCCTCCCTTACGGATCATCTAACGGGTCAACCCGTCCTACAGCCACAGTCCCTCTTTAGGGTTTAGGATGGTTTTGGGGTTTAGGGTTCAGGGCTTCGGGAAAAAATATTGCGACTAAGGTCTAAGAAGTGACACTGTAAGCGGCAAGTCTTTACATAAGTGTTCCCATCCTGCTCAACTCCCCTCGGAAAACAATGCAAAACAGCTTTCGGCATATGGGTTATGGGTAGTTCGCTAGTACTCGGGTGCCTGTTTAGGTCCCCCACAACCCTTATAAAAAACACCCTAACAAGGGCCCTAATTTCGAGAACTACCCATATCCCTTCAAGGGAAGAGCAGACCGGCTTCAACAGAAACAAGAAAGATCAGCTATCCTAAGTCTTAGGGGGCTAAGTACACCTAGTCCAAAACAGGTTAACTTTTTCAACTATGGTAAGGTTATATAGACCCCCAAAAGGCTAAGGGATGTTAAACGTTTCCTACTCAGCTACTTAGGAGCAGAGTCAGGATGATAATCCAACTACGGTTCTGTTGGCTACCTTGCTTCCTTACCGTAGGCTGCTAAAATCAGCGTAGCCTTCGTCAACCGTCAGGCGAAACGAAAAGAAGCAGTACACTGGGGTTCCAGGTGTGGCTGGGGTCGGGGGGGGGGGTGTCCAGGAAAGATTCCAGGTTCCCCAGCTGTCGTCATTCGGTTGATGATATAAATCCTTCAATACCCATAATAAGGCATATACCATGAATCCCATAGTTCAGGGTCCTTAAGTTAATGCAGGATGTATATTGTCAACCGTTGTGCTCCTCGCCCCCGTTACTTGGTGGATCCTGTGCGGAAGTGCCAAGCATTGCTTGGAGGGTCGGGGGACTTAGTAACAGGTTGTTTTAGGGGACTTATAAGTACCATAACCCCAATTAGGGTCCCTTTTCGGGTACTTATAAGTCTGCTTACTACCTACTTACTAAGTCCCCCGACCCCCCCCCTTGTACAACAAGGGACGGCAACTCCATCAACGCCCGACCCTCCAAGTGTGGAGCTTCTGCCTTGCATCTTCAGCTTGGCCGAGGCTGTCGGTTCCGAAGACATTTTCTGCTGCGTGCACGGTTTAGGATTTAGGGGTTTAGGGTTTAGGGGTTTAGGGCTTAGGGTTTAGGGCTTAGGGTTTAGGGTTTAGGGATCTCCATTGCGTCTAGCACCATGGCTGCATAGACAGTGCATGCGTTGTTTCCGTCCTGGCCGGAACCTCCTAGTGCAGGGTTTTCAACACGTGGGTAGTTGTCAAAATTAGGGACCCTTTTTTGGTACCCTAAATATTAGGTGCCGTATTACATTCAGGACCCAAAAAGGGACCATAATTTTAACAACCACCCACGTGGATCATTTACCTCTGAACGCGGCCCAGGTAAGGGCGTGAGGTCAGCAAAGTTTGCAGACGAGGGCATGATGAGGGCGAGGGCAGTCTGGGATCTATGTTGTGATATGGACCCAGAGACTCCAAAACCCCTCAATTAATGAATATACCTTATAAATTATAGTAGGATCCCTAATACCCTAATATGATTTAAGGAATATTCCTTAATTAAGGGATCTTGGAGTCTCTGGGGAACCTGAAAAGGAATGGTATTGGCATGTATCCCGGCGACTATAAATTAGGCACCCAGCGCGCGCGCAATTTTCTAGTCAGCCCTCAGATTCGATCATCCTATAAACCTAAACTCTCCATCAACTTGCCGTGCCCCACGCGAGGTAGAATCCCTGCGACCCTACTTGGAGGCTCATGAGTACCTAATTATAAGTGGGATTATAGGATTCGGGTGGGATTTGGGTTTGGGATTAGTTATAACTGGGGTTGCATAGTATGTCTAACTATAAGCCATACTAGCGGACTGATAACACGACTTGTTACTACGCATGAACCTCCAATTAAACCGTTAAGCCTGAACCCTAAACCTTAAAACATGCACCCAAAACCGCCTAAACCCTAGACCAGTACCCTAAATCCACCAACAGTAAGCCCTGAACTCTAAGCCCGATAACACTAAACCCTAAACTCTAAACCCAGTAACAGCAAACCCTAAACTCTAAACCCAATAAACCCTAAAACCCCCTAAACTTTAAACCCGAAAGGTAATAAGAGACCATTGAGATCGGGAAAGCCAAATCGAGCTGGGGAGCAGGAGCCTCAGATCATCCACTTTGCTCATGATGCTTTCCTGGGCCGATGGGTTGGGGTTTAGGGTTTAGGCTTTATTCGGGTTCAGGGTTTAGGGTTTATAGAGTAGCGGGATTTGGGGAATTTAGGGTTTCGGGCTTAGGCTTTATCAGGGTTTAGGCTTTATATAGAGTAGATGGATTTTATGGAATTTAGGGCTTAGGGTTTAGGGTTTTCCAGGGTTTAGCAGTTTAGGGTTCAGGGGTTTAGGACAGAACCCAGCTCAGCCAGCCGGCCCGAAACAGGACAACGAACCAATTAAGGCAGGCTCGAGCACCAAAGAAGTCAAGGGGTTACTACTTGGAGGGTCGGGGGACTTAGTAAGTAGTAAGTAGACTTATAAGTACCCTAAAAGGGACCCTGATTGGGGTCACGGTACTTATAGGTCCCTGAAATAACCAGTTACTAAGTCCCCCGACCCTCCAAGTACTACCCCCTTACTAAATCTTAAAACCCTAAACCCTAAATCTAAAACCCGTTCCTAAATCCAAAACCCAGGCCCTCCCCACACAGCATCGTTTCTCGGACCCTCGGCCTGTACCAGCTACTGCCCTTGCATTCAAGTGCAGGGTATGGGGTCCAGGGTTTAGGGTTGAGTGTGTAGCAAGTGGAGTTTACGGGTTAGGGTGTAGCAATTGGGGTTTAGGTTTGGGGTTTAGACCTAAGAACTATGCACCGATCTTCAATGCAACCAGCAGGGCTTACACACGGCCTGATGTGACAGCTTGGAACTGAAGTGAGGATCTGCCAAAATTAGCGCCTTAAACCTTGCGCTGCAGAACACTCAATCCTAATCCTTTGCCGTCGGCTACTGGTTTTCATTCAGACCTACTACTGTCGAGTGCTGCAGGATCTGCCGGCCGTTTCTCGGCATCCTGATTAAGAAACCTGGCTCCTTTATTAGGGTTGCTTATATGAACCCTAATATATATATATATATATATATATATATATATATTGGGGGTTATAGGGCCAGGGTTTCTTAATCAGGTTCCTACATCACCCAGTGTCTGAAGTGAAGTGCCCAGGATGTGTGCGACAAGTCTGAACGTGAGGAAGCACACAAATCGCTCAAGGCCAACTGCACCCTTCATGAATGATCAAAGCCAGCCCGCAATTCAAGAACACAAATCGCCATCAGAGTCCTGTGGAGCCGGAGCACAAATATTGACTACATGTGCACTGGCGGAACAGAAAGCCTTATTTACCAATCGCCCCTGCAGCTAAAACTGTACAAGCTGAGATATTAGGGTTTCGGGGAGATCTGAGAATAGAATGTTTGTGCTCAGCGGTCGCTATCAGGTTCGCCTAGCGGCGAACTGTCATGCCGCCTTTTCCCAGAGAGCCCAATACCGCTTAATTAAGGAATATAGCCTAAATCATAATATGAAGCCCCTTATAGTTTTAGGTATATTGCTTAATTAAGGCGTATTGGGCTCTCTGGGTTGCTGCTCAGGATCACGCGACGCAGCTTCAGACTTTTGCAGAGGTGCAGGGAGACTCTGAAGGGCCATGTTTACGGTTTAGGGTTTTAGGGTTTAGGCTTTAGGGTTTTAGGGTTTAGGGTTAGGGTTTTAGGGTTTAGGGTTAGGGTTTACGGTTTAGGGTTTTAGGGTTTAGGGTTAGGGTTTTAAGGTTTAGGGTTTAGGCCTGCCCGATTTGAATACTTGGAGGTTCATGGGTAGTTTTATGTGGAGCTAAAAGAGGGGTAACTTTACTTCTAACCCATACTAGGGGACTACTTAACCCCACTTATAACGAGGATCATTCACATGTCGACGGCAAGGCTTGGAGTGTACGTGGTTTGCAAAGGCATTCGGGGTTTATGCAGGTTAGCTTCCTATTTCATTTCCTAGCCTATTCCTAGCGGCGATGGCGAAGTTAGTAGGGTAGGAGTCAATCGTGTTCCCGACCCCCTGAACAATGACTTTCTTCTTCCATAAGCATGCCCAAAACAGTTCACACTTTCCATGGCAGAGTGAACGAAAAAGCTCAACAAACTTAACGTTCTCCCATTGGTCACCTAAGTGTTGAGAGGCTGGAGTGGGCTTTTAGGCTCCCCCTCTCATAACAAACAACTAAATCCTAAACCCCTACACCCTAAGCCCTAAAGCAAGCCATCCGACCGAAGCCACTGCCAACTGCTGCGAGCTGAATTTCACACAAGAATTTAAACCTGACCCCTCAGCAAGAACACCCTAAACCCTGTAAGCCCTATCACCCATATGACCCCCATACGTCACATAAATCAAATAAACACTCTGAGCCCTACAAGGCCTATTACCAGCCCTAAGCCCTAAAGGCATAAACGCTTAATCCTAGTCCAAGTTACATCATCCAAGACTATAAAGTCTAAAGGCCTTAAACACACAACCCTAAATCCTAAACCCAAAAGGGGTTCGATGGGGTTCGGGTGTCTGCGTTTTGGAGTTGGAGCCTGTGAAAGGTCAGAACTCCATCACGACTGGAAAAATCAATCTCTCAGACTGGACAACGACGCAGAATGACGCAGACATACCCATACTACTCGCCTCTAGCGTTTGGTACGTCTGGGATGTCAGCCCTACATCCTTAACCGTAAACTCTGAACCGTAGAGCCCGCGCAGCCAGGATTCGAGCTTCTTCATTTGCCCGATGTTCCCACGGATTTCAATGCCTATAACGGGGGGAAGATGGTTTGGGGTTTAGGTTTTCCTTAATGTAGAAGCGTTGGCTCTGTGGGGGGAGCGGGGGTGGACATTTTTCGGTGAATGAGGGGGCCAAATTGCTTAGCTGGGGTTTCTTGGGGCTCTACACAGGGGGGGGGGGGGGGGGATATTCGCAAGGTTTAGGGCTGCGCTTGGGGGATCACGGGACTTTGCAAAAAAGGCTTTTTGAGTAAACCAGCTCAAGCGCTGAGGTACAGACGGTTGTTGTACTTGTTTATAGCACTAGTTAAAATACTGCCATCCCTGCTTCTGGAGTAACGAAAAAAAATCAAACTCTTATCCTGACATATTTCAAGATGGTTCTCATAAGGAAACCAGGTTCAGGCACATCAAACGAAACACAAATGTCATACGCCAAAACGAAACATGACCGTACCTTCCCTCTTGGGGTGCGGGAAGGCTTCTAAATCAAAGGTTTCAAGGTAGTGGGGCGTTTGAGAGCTTAGGGGCGTTCGGTGTTCTCGTGCTGCTACTTGGAGGTTCATAAGGTCCCGCAATATTGGACATGATATACTATGTTACAGATATAGTCAACCCACTTACAACCCTACTCATCAAAATGAACCTCCAAGTAGACCCGAAACTGTAAACCCCTGAACCCTAAATCCCTTAACCCGAAAGCTCGCCAAGTAGGGCCTTTAGGTTCCACTTGCCTAGAGGGCGGTCATGAGAGCTGGTAATAAGGGTTAAGTTGTGGGTCCAGGGTTTAGCTCTTAAGAATTTAGGGTTTAGAGGGGTTTAGGGTGTAGGGGAAGCAAGGTTAAGCTTCATCATGTCTTTAATTGCTTTGGACACGAATGAAGGCAAATATAACCGCCCGCGGCTCTACACATGACTTTCATGTTCGGGCGTTTCGCCCGCTGCTTTTGTGTTTTGGTATGTTTCGGGTTTGTTGTTTCGGGTTTGTTCGTACTGCAGTGAGTGGTAATGCGAGTCATATGTCATATGTGAGAAAGGAAGTAATTAATCAAGTTCGGGTCCAATGCTCGCGTTATGTCGACATGTCGGACATGTGCATTTCCGAGTGCATGCGTGTTCTCGTCTGAACTTGTCCCAGTCCACCTCGTAATCGTTTTCGAGCTCATGGCGCTACTATGCTTTGAGAAGGAGTTCACTGGAAGCAATTGACATAAAGGTCGCTGGAAAGTCGTAAGATGTTGCAAGCAGGGCCATCGGTAACTTTCCCATGTCTTCAACTTTAAAACGTAAACCTCTAGACCCCATGTGCTTAACCATAACCCTGAGAACCCTAAACCCCAAGCGCTAAGCCCCAAAACCCTGCACCCCACCGTTTATCTAACCGAACCCTTCAAGCCTGGAAGCCCTACAAGCAAAATCTCGCACTGCCAAGCTGCGGCGTTTTAACTCTTCCACAATCCTGAATCGAGGACGAGGATGCTTGTAAATGAACATGGTACGCGCAACAATGCTTCGGGTTTGGTGCCTAGGGTTTCGGAGGGTTTCGCAGTGTTTCGTCCTTAGGCCTCAGGTATAAACCTTCCGTAAGTGAGTGGTGGAGGATGAACATTTTTCTAGGTTTGGGCGGCTAACGCTCAAGAGTCTAGGACCGAAACAAAAATTTGGCCAACCTGTCTGCAACCTCTTTCATACAGAGTACCCATAAACTTCCGATAATACTCCCGAAGGGGTGCCCCAGGAGCCAAAACCTGAAACTCACCCCCGCCAACTGAAGCTAACACTCAAGCCCAACCCTGACCCTAAACCCATCCCCCCCCCACCCTCAAAACGACACAAATGCTTAGCGAACCTAAACCCTTAACCCTGAACCCGTCTACTCACCCATCCGCGACATAGTCTAACACCCAAAACATAATTTTGGTTTGTTCGCCTGACGGGTTTGTGGCCTGTTCCACTGCTTGCAGGATCGCGCGACCTGCGAAATCTTACGGCCTTCCCACGCTGACCCCTGTGCCAAAGGCAGGATGCCATGGTTCTCCACTGTCTGAGGTACGGTTGATGATATAAATCCTGCATTACCCATAGTAAGGAATATACCATAATTCCCATAGCTTAGGGTCCTTAGGGTAATGCAGGATGTATATCATCAACCGTATTGCCCTGCTACTCGAAAACACTTTGAAGACAGCGGCTTGAGGGAGCACCTTCCTGGTAGCTGCTCTACTTGGAAGGTCTTTAGGGGACTTAGTAAGGTAGGTAGTAAGTAGACTTACATATAAGTACCCTAAAAGGGACCCTAATTGGGGTTATGGCACTTATAAGTCCCTAAAATAACCAGTTACTAAGTCCCCCGACCCTCCAAGTAACCATGTCTTTGGCATGATGCTCTTTCACTCTAGCACAGGCACTGAGGTTGACGTCCTCAGAGTGCGCTTCGTAGGCCGCGTGGTGAGACAGGCAATATTGTGCTACCTGGAGAGCCTGTGATCCCCTGCAAAAATAACGATGCGTTGCAACGACCTGTCAGTTCTTTACTGAAGGTAGCGCGCAGCCCATCTGTGTGCCCTCACACTCCTCTGGGGAGTCTGAGCGTTTTTCTGGGACAAGCATTACAAGCATTTGGAGGCCCGCAAACCCTAAACCCTTGACCCTTAAACCCTCAACATCCCTAAACTCCCAAATCCTAAACATCCCTAAACCCCGCCCCTTTGACATTAAAGATCCCTAAACCACTAAACCCTCAACATCCCAAAACACCTAAACCCTAAACATCCTTAAAACCTAAACTTCGTGCATCCCCACATTATAAGGACCTAAGTAATTACATATACTATTTTGGGGGTTCCTTGGTATATTTATAGCATAATGGGCCCCAAAACCCTATTCTAGTTGTTTGAGGCCCCTACGATAGAACCCTACTATAGATTCCCGATCCCCTATATAGCCCTTTTGAGGATCCCTTTAAAGTCTTTAAAGGGAACCCCCTATTCCAATTATTAAAAGGGCCCCTATACTAAATCCCATTCTAACCCTTATGATAATCCTTTTTACACCCCTTTAAAAGGAACCGTGAAAGCAACTTATTCTAGTTATTAAGGCCCCTATACTATAGTACCATAATAAATCCCTTAAAGAACCCTTTTATCGACCCCTTTGAAAATCAACCCCGTATTCCAATTTTTCAAGCCCCGATAATATAGAACCCTACTATATATGCCTTATGGACCCCTTTAAAAGAAACCCTTGAGGGACCCCCAAAATCCTAGTCTAATCATTGCAAAGCCCCATGTGCTAAATCCCTATAATTGGCCTTTCCGGACCCTTTTAAGGATCCCTCTAAATGGACCCTTTTAAAGGAACCCTTAAGGATCCCTTTAAAGGGACCCCTATTAAGGCCTCTATATTAAACCGTTTATCCCTCTAAATGGACCCTTTTAAAGGAACCCTTATATAAGGATCTTAAAAGGGACCCTTATGTTTCTGAGGCTCTGGGTGATCGTCTCTTCGTCGCAGCCCGTCGCGTTGGAGATCGGCTGCTGGCGCACAGGTGGCACAAGCCCCCACTCAGGGCTTAGGTTGAAGGGGTTGAGGGTTTTTGGGGGTTTAGAGGTTGCAGGGTTTGGAGTTTAAGGCGTTTAAGGTTTTTAGGGGTTTGGGGGGCAATGGTTCAGGGTTTAGGGTCTATATAAGCCCTAAATGCTAGCTTCCCCGAATTCCATAAACCCCAAACCCCTAAAGCCTAAGCCCCAAATGCTAAAATGCAGAGACTTCCCCGAAGTGCCAAAGAAATCGAGTAAATTCTCCAGGACCTGACTTCTCTGATTCAGTGTTTTCAAGCTTAAGCTTTGAGCTTTGCAGTTGAATGAAGGGGTTCGAGTTTCAGGAGTGGGGTCTTGGGTTTACACTTACAGGACAGTTGCGACTAAGTGTACACTGATACAAATTACCCAGGAGATCCCAGGAGTTGCTAAGAACAGAGGACCCCACAGGACCCGCAAACCCTAAGCTCTAAACCCTAAACCCTAGATCCTATGCAGTGGGAAGCAGACCCCGTCTGTTCGAACCTTGAAAGCCCGAAGTAGGTCCAGGGGCCCTCAGGCGCTTCTTCTCTTCTTTGCATCTGTAGATACTTGGAGTTCATGGGCAGTTATAAGTAGGGTTATAAGTCCCCTTATAAGTCCCCTAATATGGGTTATAAGTATAGTTACCCTACATATAACCCCACGTATAACTACCCATGAACCTCCAAGTAAGGTCTAGATTCTACCCGTGTGTGTACTCCAAGGGCTTATACGGTTTAGCGCCCAATATTCTTGTGAACAGTACACTCAGAGAGACACCGCAAACACGCACGCACACACGCACACACGCACACACACACACACACACAGACACACAGACAAACAGACACACACACAGAGACACACACACACACAGACACACAGACAAACAGACACACACACACACACAGACACACACACACACACGCCCCCCCCCAACACACACACAACACACAACACACACACACACACACACGGGCATTCTTTTCGAGCCCACAATAGCACAATGAACCTCTTGGATGAACAAATGTTGTAGTCGGTGTTTACAGCGATGAGAAGAAGCCACTTGCAAAAGCTGCCTGACAATTTCCAGCTTCCCGATCCTTCCTGTTCGATACCCACAGAGCTCAATACCCCGTAGTTAAAGAATAGATCGCAAGGTATAGGGGCCTTAACATTGTGACTCAAGGAATGTTTTTCCATTCCTTTTTTACAGGGTATTGGTTTCTCTGGGTACCGGGCCACGGCAACAAAGTCAAACAGCTTGTCACATTGTGTCTCTTCTGGATACATGTGTTGTACCGACAGTCCAAGGCCTACTGACAGATGGATGTCCTCGCTCCCTTAACCCCAAACCCTGAAGCTATGACCCCCTTACAACCATGGTAAACATGCAATTTCCAATATTCTCTTGGGTTTAATATGAACAAAAGAAGAAAGTAATTCTTACGGGGACTATAGAAAGGATCTCAAGCAGCAGCTGCAGGTACCCACAGGGACACGGATTCAGCGCTGCTGGCGGAGATCCGTGTAAAGAGGCGATCGAGAACGGGATCTACTGCAAAGGCCTTAGTAGTTCAATTAAGATAGAGCTTTGGAGGGTCCTTATCATGATTATGGTATACTATACCCCCGAACCCTATTCTAACCCACACGCCCCGCCGCTTTCACAACCCGAAACCCTGTTTTCATGAACCATCATGGTCTTCATACTGAACTAGGATGCCCGGCAACCTAGGAATAAACAGGGCTCCCTTTTTGGTATTGGGTAACTTTACCAGGAACCAAGGACTACAAAAAGGGAATAAGAGTAGTACCGGGCATCCTACTGAAGCTTTAACCCAAGCCCTGAACCCTGAATCCGGCAAATCCTGAACGCCACTCCCTGCGACTTTGAGCTTCAAGCCCAAACCGCAACGAGTTGCTTCCGATACTTCGAAGGGGTGTAGGGTTTAGGAGTCCGTTGTTTAAGAGTCCTTTCTTAATGATGCCGGTCTAGTGTTCTTGAAACACTCAGCACTAAGCCCTTACCCCCCAAACCCCGAACCCGGAACTCTCAAACCCTCAAATCCCAAACTCCCCATAAAAAAACCGGCAGAACCGCACTGTCCAGGATTCCTCGACCAGCTCACCAGCTCGCATGCTCACGCAGCAGCCACAGGCCTTCTCCTTGTTCACCTGTTCTGGAAGGTCGATACTTGGAGGGTCGGGGGACGTAGTAACTGGTTATTTTATAGAATTATAAGTACCATAACCCCAATTAAGGTCCCTGTTAGGGTACTTATAAGTCTACTTAGTCTACTTACTACCTAATTACTTACTAAGTCCCCTGACCCTCCAAGTATACCCAGACCTTCCAATATCCCTTAACTAAGGAATATACCTCAAATCAGACTAGGGATCCTATTATATGTTAAAGTGTTTTCAAATAAAGGGATATTGGAAGGTCGAAAGGCTTTACATTTCTAGCATCAGGGCGTTACAGTGCACCAAACCCCAAAACCCTTCAACCCCGCAAGCATCCAAGAACACAGCGCCGCGAAACAGGGAAATATGCCCCATCAAGCACGCTCTCACAATCCAGTTTTAATATGTCTGCATTAGCGCCTCATGTGGTTTGAAGTGCTGCAAGCAGTAAATCTGGAGATAACATGACCTTCCTGAAGCCTCGTTTCCTGAACCTGCAAATTGGAAATGCAGATGCAGGAAAACCCAAGTCAAAGCCACCTCTGCTACTTGGAGGGTGGGGGGACTTATATAGTAAGTAGGTAGTCAGTGGACGTATAAGTACCCTACAAGGGACCCTAATTGGGGTTATGGTACGTATAAGTCCCTAAAATAACCAGTTACTAAGTCCCCCGACCCTCTAAGCACTTTAAGCCCTAAACCCTAAACCCTATACCTTAGAAGCTGCCCCCACCCTGTAATAGTGACCATCAGGCTTATATTACTATTATATTAGGGCCCTATTATATTCCTATTATACCACTATTACAGGGTGGGGGCAGCTTCTAACCTATACCCTTATAGAATCCCAGTCCCCTATAGCTAAAGATCCTCCAAGTAGTGAACCTGCTGGGCAAACCCTGCACCCACGGACCCCAAAGTCGCGAACCACAGCCCCTTGGCCAGGGTAGGGGTTTTCGGGTTCAGCGCTACCTTGAATGCTTAGGGCTTAGTGTTTGGGACCACTTTGAATGTCCAGGCTTTTGGGCCTCTTTGAACGTTTAGGGTTTAGGGCCACTTTGAATGTTTCAAGTTTCGGGTTTCGGGCCACTTTGAATGTTTGGGTTTAGTGTTTAGGGCCAGTTTAGGGATTGAGGCCACGTTCAGGGTTTAGGGCCAGCTTGAATCTTTCGGGTTTAGCGTTTTGCCCGTGACCTGGCACAGCCGAGGTGCATCGTCGATCTGTGCATAGGGACGTCGCTCGATTTTGCTAGCGCGATCCAAGCCCCGCCTCAGAAAGTTGCAAACTTTGAAAACCCAGAGAAACCAAAACGGCTTAACTCAGGAACATGTCCTTAACTATAAAAGGAGTATCAAGTGACATGTTCCTTAACTAACAGGTTTGGGAGTCTCTGAAACCCCCAGCCGCACCGCCAAACTCTCATCCCTAAATGCTCACTGGACCCCAAACAGTATGTGGAATAATCGCCTTGTGCGGGTGTTGGGCCATTATTTTACCTACTTGTCGAGGTAGGCCCCAAACCAGAGAGCCCGACAAAGATGCGACAAGACAGCAAAAACATGGGCGCACTACCTTTTTCCAATGGCTGCTACATGTACTCGCCGTGATAGGACCCTTTCTTGAGTATCCACAAAATATATAGCTGTTGAAAACATGTAGACTATGGCAGGACTGTACCAAAAAACAAGATGCAGAAACCAAGGGTTACCTACTCGGCTCGGGAAGCAGGTAAGCCAGAAAAAGAAAATCACAATTGAGAGTCCAAGCCGCTTAGGGTGTAAGGTTGCCAGAGAGGGAGTATTGTGGGATTCAGGTTGTAGGTGGCACGTAACCCGACAACGTGAACTTCCTCAGGATCTGTGTACCGGTGTGGTGCTCAGCCGATTCGGAAGTTTGAGGACTCGGCGGTAAAGGGAGCAGTGCTGGTAGTGGCAAAAGTACTTGCAGCAGCAGCAGCAGCAGCGCTGGGAGCAGCAGGAATGTCCGCATCAGCAACAGGGGCAGCAGCAGTAACACTAAATTACATTAATAGCAATCACAACTGCAGCGGCACAAGCAACAGCAATTCAACTCGACCCGTCAAAGGGATGAAAACAAGGCTGCCGGTGTGCATGATCACTGTGATCCTGCTGAACCGATGACCTTCACGGCTCCTCTTACGGATCTATAGATGGTCTTTTTTTATGGGGCACCTTGATTTGCAGAGCTCCTTGAAGAGTCCCTTTAGTGGCTCCCTAAACCAAAACCCTAAGCCCTAAACTTACAAGCACTAAACCCCTAAACTTAAGCCCCTACACCCTTACAGTGTCCGTAAAGGAACCCTTCAAGGGCTCCCCGGACCAAATTCTATACCCCACTTAGAACCATAATAGACACGATAATTTTAATATTCTCTTAGGTTGTGTATGAACAAAAAAAGTTCCTAAGGAGACCATAGAAATGCAGCCCCGACACACCTCTCGAATTACGGCCTCGTCGGGAGTCAGCTCCACAGTTCCTCGGGGAGTACTTGGAGGTTCATGGGTAGTTATAAGTGGGGTTACAAGTAGTGTAACTATAATAATAAGCTGAATTAGGGGACTGATAACCCTTAAAGCTACCCATGAACCTCCATCCAAGTAGGTAGGGGGTTCTGAAAAAAAAACGCTCCTTTTAAAGGGATGCTGAAATGGTATAAACACATCCTAGGATACCCAGTAGCCTAAGAATAAAAAGGCCTCTCTTTTTGGTATTGGGTAACTTTATAAGGAACCTAGGACTACAAAAAGGGAATAAGGGTACTACTGGGCATCCTAACATCGGTTCCTCTGAGGGCTCCTGAAAAAGGTTACTACAGTAGAAGCCAGAAAGTTGGAATATGATTATCCTAACCCTTCTATGGTAAATTACAGGGTATCCTACCATGAAACCATATTCCAACTTTCTGGAGTTCCCTGTACGGTTTTTTTAAACGAGTTTCCTTGGTATTTGAAGGGCGCTTCAATGTGTGTGGGGTTCGACTTCGGGGCTTGGAGTTTAGGGAACGGAGTTTTGGGCTTACTTGGAGGGTCGGGGGACTTAGTAAGTAGGTAGTAAGTAGACTTCTAAGTACCCTAGAAAGGGGCCCTAATTGCGGTTATGGTACTTATAAGTCCCCTAATAACCAGTTACTACGTCCCCCGACCCTCCAAGTAGTCGGGTATATAATCAACCCAAACTCGAAATGCGGGGTTTGGGGTTTAGGAAACTAGTGTATTCTTGTGTTCAGGGCTTAGGGCTTAGGGTTATTCGGGGTGTTGTGGGGTTAGCTGGGGTGTTAGGGGATTGGAACTTTATAGATTTGCTGAACTGGCTTGACATAGCCTTTTCGGGTTCGGAGTTTCCATGGCTTAGGGCCTACCGGGACCCCAAAAGTATGTAGAATAACAGCCTTTTACGGGTAATGGGCCATAATTTTGCATGGGGTTGGGTAAGGATTGCGTTCTGGATTGATGGGTGTTGAATTTAGGCGTTTGGGCCTTATCGATCCCTAGGGATCTGAGGACTCATATATTCCAGGCTTTTGGGCACAAAAACCATACTATATAAGGCTTTTGGGCTATTTTGATCCCTAGGGGAGTATGCTTTGGGGTTGTGTTGCCAAGCGTCGGTCGACACAGCCGCAAATCTGCTCGAGGCAGCAGACCACTTGCCAGGACTGGGCAGTTGACGTAATGGCTCCCCTTTACTTGGAGGTTCATGGGTAGTTATAAGTAGGGTTATACGTCCCCTAATATGGGTTATAAGTATAGTTACCCTACCTATAACCCCACTTATAAGTACCCATGAACCTCCAAGTAGGGTTCCTGAAAGGGATCTATGGGACAATGAGAAGGACGATGCCCTGAAACACAACCCTAAACCCTTAATTCCTAATCCCAGCCCTAAACCCTAAACCCTGAACCCACGTTTTCTGGACTTTGAGGTAACCAGGGAGAAAAAGTAGAGACTTTCATGTCATAATTTTTCCTTCATAGAACAGGTACCCAAAAGATGTTCAAGTATGGTACTCCAAACCCAGGTTTAAGTGCGAGCCCAGGGGCCTGCGTCTCGAATTTCACCTCTTCCTCCGGATTGTAAAGCTGCGCGAAGGTCTGACGGGCGGCTGGTCTGTTAGCCCGAGGGCCTACTCAGGCTTTACCTTAACCCCGAATAACCTACCTTTCTAAGGACTTATAGAAAAATTCATAATAAGGAACCCTAAAAAGGTAGGTGAACTAGTGTTAATAAACCCAGAGGATTAAAGCCTCTGGGTTTGGGGTTTAATTGTAAGGTTTTGGGTTTGGTGCTTGGGGTTTAGGCTGCAGGGAAGCTTCGAGTATCTCAACAAGCACCTTTGGATTCTTTGCTCGGTACAGCTGGTGTAATTAGGCTGGGGGGTTTCGGGCTTTGGGTTTGAGACCTAGGTTTTTCGAAACCGTGCGGTTCAGGCATGGTTTATCAAGACCTGCAAAACATCCAAGCTAATCCGCTGAAGATTCGACAAAAAGGGATATAGCAACATAGAGAGGAACCCTAACACTAAATTTGTCGCCACGATGCTCAATCCTAAGTGGTTTAGGGTTCAGGGTTTTGGGGCTTGGTGGCTTTAGTTAGCTACTTATTAGGGCCCAAGGCTTGGAAATTTGCGGAACTTTCGATGCCCTAAAAGCAAAAGCCTCACACCTCAAGATTGCAGGCAAATCGGCGGCATTCTGCGTAGCAAGAGCCCATTTCCTACACCCCAGGGCAAAAACCCAGACACCTCCTGGTTAGAAAACCCCAACCCTAAACCGGACGTCTCAAGTGAAACCCTAAAGCCTAAGCCTCAAACCCCAAAACTGGGCACTCCACTCCCCTTAGAAGAAGCAGAAATCGCTGGGAGGTCCCTGCACACACCAAAGTGGCAAAACTGATCCTAAAGTGTCCTAATGGGTGATGCTTGCTCGAAATATAGATGGGAGTTCCCGAAAATAGGGGACCCCAATATAGTACCCTAAACAATAGGATCCTTATTATAAGGAGCCCAAAATAAGGTACCCCTAATTTTGTGAAACTCCCAGATGGTAATTCTCATTACAGAATCCGTACTTTCTGCGATGTAGGTACTCAGGACCCGTTGCGATGAGAGAAGCCATAAGCCAAGAAGGAAAAACATGTGGGTGGTTGTCAAAATTAGGGTCCCTTTTTGGGTACCCTAAATAAAAGGTGCCGTACCATATTAAGGACCCAAAAAGGGACCCTAATTTTGACAACTACCCACATGTTGAAGCTGTTCTATTGTGGCAGCAGTGGTTGTGGACAACGAAATGTCAAAAGTAGATTTTCTCAAAAGCTGTGAAGGGACTTACAGTACCGGATTCCAATTATCCATGATGGAATCCTCAAGGTAAGCCTTGATCGACTAGGATCCCCAGTGGCCTAGAAGAACAAAAAGATCCTTTTTGGGGTACTGGGTAGGGTTTAGGGTAATGTGGGTGTCGGTTTTGGAATATAGGCCCCTTTAATGCGTCTTCTCCGGGGCTAATTCCGAATCGGTACCAAAAATTTGGGTGTTCTAATTAATGTGTTTTTTTGGCTGGGAGGGCTTTTTGGGGTGTTTGTTGGCTATCTGCTGATGGTCAATCTTAAGGCAGCCACGACCTGAAGCCCCCACCCAAACCCTAAAACCCTGGCCCTGAAGCCCGAAAATCTCTTGCAAAATTGTTTCGCTTATTGGGGCGTCAGGAATGAAATCTGTACTACTTCTGTACTACTATTGTACTACTATTGTACTACTATTGTACTATTGTACTGCTACTGTAAGCCTTGCTTATTGGGGGGGGCTGCTAGGGTGAACCGCCGAATCGGGAAATGGACCCTTGCTCAAAAGAGGCCTCTCCAGTACTAAAGTTTGTATAAAAATTTAATTTTGGGTCGAATCCGGACTGACCCCCCTTTGGGAAGGGTGTAGGGTTTAGGGTTTGCTAGGGTTTAAGAGTTTAGGATTCGTTAGGATTTAGGGTCTGTTAGGGTTTAGGGTTCAGGATTTAACGGTTGTTAGGGTTTAGGGTTTCAGGCACTGGCTTTATGCTTTGCTTATCGGCAGTATTTCAGTACTATTGCTGTACTACTACTGTACTACTAGTGTACTACTGTGCTACTATTGTGCTACTACTGTGCTACTACTGTATTACTGCGGTACTACTACTGTACTACCACAGTTCTACTACTGTACTACTATTGTACTACTACTGTACTACTACTGTACTACTATATTGTACTACTGTACTATTCTTGTACTACTACTGTACTACTACTGTACTACTACTGTACTACGGTAATATTATCGTACTACTACTATTGTACAACCACTGTACTGCTACTGTGCTACTATTGTGTTACTGCACTATTATTGTACTACTACTGTACTACTACTGTACTACTACTGTACTACTACTGCACTACTACTGTACTACTGTTGTATTACTATTGTACTACTGCATTATTATTGTACTACTACTGTACTACTACTCTACTACTACTGTACTACTACTGTATTATTTCTACTGTACTACTGCTGTACTACTTGTACCCCACCAAGCTTCAGACGTGGTCGATTGTGGGTGGGAGTGTGGGAGTGTAGGTTGGAGGCAAAAGTGTTCAAAATGTAGGGTTTTTAGTCTTGGTAGTTATCTTGGAGTGATCGGGGCTTGGCTTCCAGCATTTGGTGATCCCGAGACCCGCCCGACCGCGCATTCGCGCAGAACCGCAGACCCTGCACCCAAGCCAGCCCCCAAACCCCTGTCCGGGGTTATCGGTTCCAAATTAGTTAGAAATAAACTTTTTGGTCGGGGGGGGGGGGGGGGTACCCCCTCCGTAAACCGACACCCACATTATAGGGTTTAGGGTTTGGGGTGTAGGGTTTGGGGTTTAGGGTTTGGGGGTTCAGGGTTTAGGGTCTAGGGTTTACGGGTCTAGGGTATAGTTCTGCGCGGAACCTAAGAACACAAACGGAAAAATGGACCCATGAGACCTAGTAACGAGCAGAGTGAGTAACTTGGTGGAGAGGGGGGGGGTTCAGTTTAAGTTTCGGCTCCGGAGGAGGACGGGGAATACGTTTTAGGGTTTAGGGTTTTGGGTTTAGAGTTTCAGTTTCAGTTCGGGAGGAGGGGGAGGGAGGGAGTGGAGGTTCAGTTTCGATTCCAGTTTCAGTTTCCATGAGACAAGTTTTTCAGGAAGGGGAGGGCGAGGGCTGAGTTTCAGTTGCAGCATATAGCCCAGTTACTAAGTCCCACGAACTCTCAAGTGCCTCCCAAACAAGGCTTCTTTAGCTCAGCTCCGTGCCTTCAATGCCGGCGTTTCTCCAGGAAAGATTTTCGATAGTACCCTCAGTTAAGCAGGGCTGGGTCTCTTCAGGTTAGCTGGCGTCCAAACCCGTACGTCGGGGATGTACATCGTACACGGGTTCATGAGGGATCGTGTTACGTAGTGCTCCTGAACCCTAAACCACCAAACCCCTAAGCCCCTAAACTCTACGGTAAAGGTAAAAGCATTTCTGGGGCAGGCGTTGTAGGTTGTCGGGTCTTAGACTTCCCTTAACCCTTGAGCCGCACATAGGAGTTTCCGAAAGTTATGGGTACCTTTTCTGGGGGTCCTTATAACATGGATCCTACTTATTAGGGTGCTATATTAGGATCCCCTACTTTCGGAAACTCCCATGTAGGGGCCTTAATCCTAATTGAAAAAGAGTTCCGCTGGCCCCAACCAAATACGGGGATAACCAGGGTTTAGAGTGGAAGTCATTGGGCGTTGCAGGCTTGGGGCATGACAACCTGTGAGTATCACAAAGAAACCGAATGAACAAACCTAGAGGGTCCAAGTACCCAAATAGCAGGGTTTTAGATCCCCAAAATCCACAGCCTGAATGGTTTTTGGACCTTGAAAGCCTACTATTTGGGCACTTGGACCCTTAGGGAAAATTACCAGCCAGTGCTTCAGGCTTCTGTACCTGGACCCTAAGGGACCTACCTTTTCAGGGCCCCCGAATAAGATTTCTTTATATAAGTCCCTAAAAAGGTAGGTTCCTTGGGGTCCAGGTAAGCATTACTCTAAGTCCGCCGCCCTAATCATTCCTAAAGTCCAAGCTGGTTCCTTAATCTTGCTACAGTAGACTATACCCAAAAAAACCCTATCCTAACTACGGTTGATGATATAAATCCTGCATGACCTTAAGAACCCCAAACTATGGGCATTATGGTATATTCCCTATTGTGGGTAATGCAGGATTTATATCATCAAACGTATGTAATCGGGGCCTCGGAACCCCTAAACCCTAAACTCGAATTACGCTGTACTTGCATACAGTCAAAGCCCAAAAGTTGTAAACCCCATAGCCTCAATCCTTAAGAGTAATGTATAGGGAATCCCAGCACTATTTGGCCTTAATCCGGTTTCCACCGTTATGGGGGTTACTGTAGATGCCACCCAAATTTCGAAGCCTCAATCTGAGACATGGGAATTCAGGAAACCAGGGTGACCCTTGCTAGGAGAACCCCAGAAGAAGGTACATCGAATTTCAGAAGTTCCCTGCTCTCCACACACACCTTCGAACTCCAGACTCGCAAACCTGAACTGGATCTCAAACCTCTTTGGTCGGTGGTTTAAGATCTCATGAACATCTCGAACAAGCTAAAGTGCCCTCCAGAAGGTGGCCACCTTCGAGGTAGGGCTGCGGTGCTTGCAAAGGTCTATGGCCTATGGTTCAGGGTTCCTGGGCTTGGGGTTTCCGGTTGTATGTCTAGGTTCCTGAAAAGGGTTCTACTCAGGAACCTAGGAGTTCAGGGATTCTGGTGAGTTTTCCGGCATGTCCTCACGCACTCACGCAGGGATTCAACTCCACCATCTCTGCAAAGCCTCGCGCGATAGACTGAGTTCCGGCTAGGGTCTAAGACTGACTACCCTAGCCCCCACAAAGGCCAAGTTTTTCACTTCTTGGTAGAGACATATGATCCCGGTTGGCCCGTCCCCCCCCCAAACCCCCCTCCCTGTGGTGTGGTGTGGTGTGGTGGGTTGCTTCCCCGCTCCCTGCGGTGTGGTGTCGTCCGGGGGTGGGTCTGGTTCGGGTGGTTGCCCCCCTCCCGGCATGGTGCGGTTCGGTTTGGCTTGCGGTGGTTCCCCCTTGCGTTTTTTGGTTGGCTTTGGGTGTTTGGTAAACTCATCCCCATGACGATCATGACGATGATGGGGACGATGATCACCATGATCATCATCATTAACTCAAACATCTCAATGTTTCTTTGGTTGGTCGTCGGGAGTCTTCTGCCCACGTGCCTGGTAACGATCATCGCTTTATTGATCGTAAGGCCACTATCTTCGTGACAGTTGTCGCTTTGGGGGCAATTGCCATAAGGTTGCAAATGGGCCAACTGTCACAGGGATCGGGCCTGTCAGAGAACGCAGTCCTCGTGACAGTTTGCGGCTTTTGTGGCCTCACGTGCGAATCGTGCCGGAAAAAATTGTATTGTCACACGGATCGGGCGTCTTTGGGACGCGATCCTCGTGATAGATGACGGCTTTGGGGCCCGCCTGTGCAAAACGTGTGCGCAGTCATTCCGATTCGGCTTGGGGAGTGGGTGGGTAGCGGGGGATATACCATTGGGGGGGAGGGGGGTGTCGGCGAACGCGGGATCAATATAGACCGATATAGACCCCAAAAGGTTCAAGGCCGCCTACTCAGCTACTAAGTAGTGGAGGTTTGGTGTTATTCTGTCTATTCCCGTCAGTAAGGGAAGTCTCAGTACCTCTGCAAAGGCTCTGGGAATGCATGAGGCCCGCGCAGCATAATGGCTGTTCAGCAACCGACTCACCGGGAGAGTGTGTACTCTTGTGGGAAAGCTAAAATAGAATAGAAACCTAGACACAAGAATAAGTTGAAAAGTATACCACTGAGACCCTGACACTTAAACCCTACCAAAAATCTGAATCCTACAAAACCCTAAACCCACTGAGGCTTGCTAGCTGGAAGACCCGTAAATAAAACGACTGCTAGAAAACTCAGAGCCAGACCCCCTGGAAAAGATCTAGAAAGTACGGTTGATGATATAAATCCTGCATGACCTTAAGGACCCTAAACTATGAGAATTATGGTAGATTCCTTATTATGGGTAATGCAGGATTGATATCATCAACCGTAGAACTCTCGGTTGGGAACCGGATATACATTAAACTACCATAAACTACTTGTTTGCAAGTTCTTATTGCAAATATTAACTAGCAAGAACAATGTAGACTATATAGGGGCTCTACCAGAAAGTTTGGTTTCGGTAGTCAGTTCAAGGGAGGGGTCTTCACAAGTAGAATAGAGATTTTGGCTACAAACATGTGGAAACCGTGAGCCCCAACTCCAAGCTGCAAGCCCTAAACAATCCCGCGACCCAAAATCAAAAACCAGAACCAAACCAAACTCGCACATCCCAAAAAGCCCACCTGTACTTGGAGGGTCGGGGACTTAGTGACTGGTTATTTTAGGGACTTATAAGTACCATAACCCCAATTAGGGTCCCTTCTAGGGTACTTATAAGTCTACTTACTACCTACTTACTAAGTCCCCCGACCCTCCAAGTAGTCCGAAATTCCTAGCATTTGAAAGAACCCTATGCCACTATGGAAACCCCCCTGGAAAGGCTGAGGCAATGGGCCATAGGTAAACCCGAATCTGCAACCCAAACCCCTAATTCAGGAACACTTTTATATGAACCAAGGTCAAAGTATATGCCGCAAGTTTAGCGGTTTCTGGTATATCTGGGATTGCGGACTCTATAAAGAAATCAAACTAAGGAACCAACAACAAAGTTTTGGTTGACTGGGCCATAGGTAAACCACAGTAAGCCTTGAAACTGTAACATTGCCGAGCGGCTGAATACCGCGATTCGCCATTATCAGAGGGAGCTCTGCAGTAAGTTTAGTCACTTGCTCCTCGCGGTTTGGTGCTTAGAATTAGGACTAGGAGGGTCCTTGGGGATATAGACTCTCTCAATAAGGCCCCTTTAAGAGAGCCAGAAGTAGGCTTGAGAAGGATCCCGTTTCATTAAAGGGTCTCCCTAATACTACCTAGGATCACCTTAAACCCTGAAACCCTAAACTCTGAACCCGAATAAACAAAACCCTAAACCCTACACCGTAAGCCCTGAACCCAAAACCCTAAACCCTAAGCCCTAATACTACTACCTAGGAGAGCTAGGGTTAAAGATGTTCCTACTTGTCGGGTATCACGGGGAACTACAGGTTAACCTTTTTGGTTATACAGGGGTTATATAGGGACTATACTACCCAAAAAAGGTTAAAGGTTGCCTACTCTACTACTAGGTATTTAGGGCTTGTTTAGGGTTCGGGCTGAAGTTCCTCGGCTACTTCAAAGCCTCGGGTTCAGGGGTCGGGGTCGGGGTTAGGGATTCCCTTAACCCCAAGTAACACACCTTTGTAAGGACTTGTATAAGAAATCATATCAGAGAGAACCCTGAAAAGGTAGGTTCCTTAGGGTCCAGGTCGGGCTTGAAAGTCTAGGGCCTCGGATGTCGGGTTTGTGGTTCAGGGTTAAGGCTCGTGGACCATAGGTCGGCCAGTCTAAACCCTAATCGCGACCGACGATATAACTACTCGACACCATAAACCCGAAACTCCACACTCCGGGCTCTAACCCCAACTTTATAAACCACTATGGTAGAACCAGGAACCGATGATTTCGAAGGTCATGCAGTGTTGCAGCAAGCCGTTGAAACCACGGCCTCTAACTCCGTTTACAATGCAAGGCTACGGGACCCCTTGTAGCAGTCGATGACAAGCAAGGCTAAAACACCCCCTGAATCTGGGAAACCACTTTCTCATATTCTGCAACCACGTTTCTCCATCTCTCTCTCTCTCTCTCTCTCTCTCTCGCGTTCTTTCTGTCTCTCCCTATCTCTCTCTTCCTCTCCCTCCCTCCCTCCATCCATGCATCCGTTCATGCATCCAGCTGCCTACCTATCTACTTCCTACTTTTCTATCTAGCTGGCTATCCAGCTTGCTGTCTGTCCATCTATCTATCTACCTATTTAGATCCTACCTACACATACCTACCTACCTACGTACCTACTATCTATCTACCTGTCTATAGATTTGTCTTCTGTGTAGCTATCAATCTTTCTGCCTACTATCTGTGTACCTGCCTATCTCTGTCTAGATCTATCTATGTATCTATCTATCTAGCCATCTACCTGTCTCTCTGTCTGACAATCTCTCTACCCATCTACCGACCGGTCTACCTATCTATCTGTTTATCTGTCTATTGACCTATCTACCGGTAATCGGTGCATATAGCTCATATGTATATACATATATATATATACACATACACACATACAACTACTGTACACATAAGCATGCATACATGTACTTGTACATTTACATAAACATATACGTACACAATATGTATATATATATATATATACACACACAATTTTGTGAATATATACATGTTTATGTATGTATGCATGTACATACATACATATATATATATATATATATATATGTATATACACATACATACACAACAGCGCTACAAGAAGCGCTCGAATTCATCCACGGCGGTCTGCTGCCAAGTGTCCAGCAAGAACGTCTGCCTAAGCTCAAGGTTTAAGGATACGGGTTTAGAGTTTAGGGGTTTAGGGTTTAGGGGTCGTATGGGAACCTTGCCGTTTGTATGGGGTTTCATGACTCTCTCTCTCGCTCTCTCTCTCTCTCTCTCTCTCTCTCTCTCTCTCTCTCCTCTCCTCTCTCTCTCTCTCTCTCAAAGTTCTCGGTTTAAGTTGTTCAAGACTCCCTTTAAGTTATCGGTTTAAACTTTATGTTCGGGGGGTTACTGCTGCACCGGAACATGGGCCCTTCTACAAGATATGATATGCATCTAGTAGCCGGCGTCCCTCCTGAATATCGTTTCATTCTTCTCAACATTGACTGCAGCTCCTTTACTCAATAATCAGAACCCACCACACAAAACAAGCATTGAAGCATTCCAACCAACCATTTAAGCGACGGCTTGTACTTGGAGGCTCAAGGTAGTAAAAAGTGCGTTTGTACGTCCCCTAACATGGGTGATAATTGTAGTTACCCTGCTTATAACCTCACCTGCATCCACCCATGAACCTCCAGGCTATGGACCCAAACAAAGAGCTCACCTTCAGCCTTGCGATGAAGTTGAAAACTCAGTGTCCGCATGGGTTTAGGGTTCAGGGCTTTGGGGTTACGGGTTAAGGTGGGTAGTATTATTAGGGAAACCCCTTAAAGGGCACCCCTTCTGAACCCTACTTCTGGCTCTCTTACAAGGGGCCTTATTGAGAGGGTCTATATCCCCATGGGTCCCCCTAATCCTAACTCCCATTAAGGGCTTTAGTGTTTCAGCGCCGGGGCTCTGTGGTCCTAACAACCTCGTCTTTGGCTCTCAATCAACTTGAGACTTTGAAGTAACCAGGGATCCTTAAAAGGGGTCCTCAAAGGGATCTATAGTAGGGCTGTTATAATGTAAGGCCATTTCTGGACTTTGAAGTAACCAGGAAGAAAAAAGTATAGACTTTTGTTTCATAATGGCTCCTTTAAGGAACACGTACCAAAAAAAACAAGTATTCCAGTATTACTCCAGGGAGAACATCTGACAGGAAAGTTATAGTTACTGGCAGCCGATACAAACAGCGAACCACTACACTTTAAACCCCAACAGGTCTAGAGCAAAACACATGGAAAATACACACACACACAGAATCCTACAGTCCGCACTCTATAAGCTTGCAAATCCCCGAAAACCGAAAACCTTACGCCTAACTCCGGAACCCTATAACCTAAACCCATAACCCTCAACCTTAACTCCTGGACCCTGAAACCCAAACCCTGAACATGTTAACCTCAAAGAACCCGTTCGGTCGGGGGACTGCCGTCGCTGCGCAGTGTCGCCTCGCCCCTCCATGCGGGCACGCAGCTCGTTGCAGATCTCCTCCGGGCTGATACTGGGGTTAGGGGCCTTAACAATTAGAAGAGGGTTTTGGGGCCCATTATACTATATTTATAGTCAAGAACCCCAAAAATAGTATAGGTAATTACTGGGGCCCCTATATTGGATGGCTTTGGCTTGGGTTCTTTGACTCAGACCCGCGGCAGGATCTGGAAAGAAGGAGTGGGGACCCTATACTACTAAAAGGTCCGATAAGTTACAGGAGCCCCATGCTCTCCGTCATAATACAGAAGCCTACAAAAATTACCAATGTTACAGGATTCCTTAGGGTTCCTGATGATTCTGCTTTGATCTGCCCCAGTACCTATTCGAACTCTATCTACATTGCTACTCTGTTCATCTTTGTCGCACCTGGCCCTCTGAGCCCTATTATTATTATTATTATTATTATTTTTGAGGCCCCTTAACCCAAATTGTCTGGGGTAGCCCTTATAAGTGCCCTTCGAGTAAACCCTAACGAACCCTCGAAGCTACCCTTTACATCCCTGTCTGGACCCCTTACCGGAGCCCTTCACGGAACCCTCAAAGCTACCCCAAGCCCTTATGGAACCCTACTTGCGAAGCTGTAGGATCCCTGTAAGACCCTACGTCAAGCCCGGAGAGCCCGATACCCCTAAACCCTAAACGCCTAATCAATTTATGACGACTACACCTTAGAAGAACCCTTACACGAGTACTGATTCTAGGCTTTTCTGTGCAAGCCGGACTCGAGAATAGCTGTTTAAGGCTAGGGTTTGGGGGTTTAGGGGCTCAGGATTTAAGGGGTTTAGGGTTTTAGGGACTGGAGTTTCGGGTAGAGGGTTTAGTATCCTGCATAGAAGATTCTTTGAGTCTCCTGCAGTACTTGGAGGGTCGGGGCACTTAGGAAGCAATTACGTAGTAAGTAGACTTGTAAGTAACCTAATTGGGGTTATGATACTTATAACTCTATAAAGTAACTAGTTACTACTAGTTACTACTGTAAATCTCCCCAAGTAGAGTGCATCTAACAGGAATCCCAGCACTATTTGGCCTTAATCCGGCTTCCAACTTTATGGGGTTTACTGTGGGGGTTCAGGGCCTTGGGTTGAGGGCGTGGGGTTTAGGTTAGGGGCACCCCACATCAAACCTTTCACGTGGGCGAGATGGAGGTTTGGGGCTTAAGATTAAGCTTCCAATGTTCCTTCAGGAATATGCCGTAAACCTACTTGTCCAGCATCCAGGGAAGCTAAAGGTAAACCTTCGGGTATATATTGGGATTAGATACGGACTGTAGTACCCCAGAAAGGTTAACAGTTCTCTGACGTTCTCTGTTCTAAAAATTCTACCACTAAAAACTTGCACCCCGCATCATCAAACTTTTGACCTGCGAGATGGAAAAGCCATTGGCCCCTGTCTTCTCCCACACCCCACCCTCTCAAACCAGCAAGGGCTTAGGGTTTGGCTCGCGAACAGGTCAAGAGATTTCAGAGAAATTAGCGTTGTAGGGGCTGCAAGCTGCCAAACGGACGAAGTCCATAGGCTGGCTATGCTCTCAGGCATTGCCAAATTGCTTCAGTACTGCTGGAGAGAAAGACATTCGTTCCAACAAATACACAGTATTGCTTTATCGTCGCAAACATCGAAAGAGTGTGACGGCCGGGCATTAGGAGATCCACAGAAGAGTATGGAATTTCTTCCGGTCAGTCAGCTTTGTGGCCTGGCTCACGAGCGTCCCAGGGGCCCTGCACGCAGTCGCTGGAGCTGGCAAATGAAGCAGGGCTTTGCTGCATGATGCAGGGTTGCAGCCTTTAGCGCAGCTTGTGGCGAGGCAAGCACTGCAGGACGAGCCGTGTAAGAAGCAGCAAGTATCGTGCATAGCGGCGGTGGCGGCGGGGGGTGCCAGCAGTGCTACGCCAGTGAGGCGGCCAGTTGAGGCAGTGAGGGAACTGGAAGGGATCGTAAAGTTTAGGGACATCAAAGACCCTGAAACCCCGAACCTTGCAAAGCAGTGGGGTTATAATCCCAAGCGTTGCTCGAATGGATAAGTAGGGAAAATGGTCTAAGCTTTAGAGTTCGAACCTCAAGGTGTTTGGCTTTTTCTTGGTTTGGCTTTCAGGGTTCCCTTAAATGTTCCTTGCCGGGTTGTAAGGGCCTGAATGAACCGAATAGGTGCCCCGGGTTCGTGAATGTCCTCGGTGTATGGACGATCCACGCCAAAGAAAGGTTTGATGCCACCCTCGCCTCTGGAATTCATGGCTTGTAGACTGGGGCTTATTTAGGATGTCGGGTTTAGGGTAGTGCAGGGGCCCGAGGAATTCGAAGAGGTCCGAGTCTCCTTAAGAGTTCCTCAAATAAGAAGTAGATTTGCGTTTTAAAGTTTTTTACTGGGTGTTGGCCAGGCTTGTTACGGTTTACTCTGGCGTTTTACAAGCCTTGATTTGGCGACGTCTACAATTCGAATCGGGTTTCGTGGTACATGAAAGTATACTTCAAGCAAATGCATTAGGTGGTGCTAGACTCCTCGTTTTGATCTTTGCGAGCTGAGGAAAATGCAGAAACATTTAATTCTGCAGAATGGTAAGGGAATGAAGCATGTGGAGCAAGGGCTCAGCGTCTAGGGCAATTTCTATTAAATATACAACTATTGATTGGCGTACCCGGGAATGGCCCGCCCCAACAGAGAACAGGTTCATGCATGCAATGCTATGTATTCCGACCTGAGCAGCAAGGCGCAAAAGCCGCCAGCGGGGCGGTGGCGCTTAGGCCGATTTTAGGGTTCAGGGTGCTGGGATATCTCATATACTTGTGAATTAAACCATGCTTTATGTACGCCAACAAGGTAGGGATATCCCGTAACCCACTCACAAGTTGACGCTTGGGTGGTATTTGGCTCCTAACTAACCCCAAACAAACCCTGAATCACCCCAAACCGTAACCCTAAACCGCCATAAACCCAAAGCCCTAAACCCAACCCCTCAAACCTTCCTAATCCCTATAAGCCCTTGCAAGTGCAGGTCAGCATTGGCCCAGCCTTTCTCGTTGACTTTCTCCAAGTTGGAACTCATCGTGACCTTGGAGGCGGGGATCTTTGAGGTCGATGTGTTACGGCTGTGACGTCCTTTTTTGTAAGGGCCTCTTTCGTCGCTTGCACTCCGAAACTCGTTTTGGGCAGGCAAGGATGTTACGGTTTAGGGTTCAGGGTGCTGGGTTTAGAGTTTAAGATTTCGGGGTTAGAGCTCCCTAAACCCTAAAAAACCCTCAACGTTAAATCGCAAGCCCTAAAACCTTAAGTCCTAAACCCTAAACCCCAGGCTCTGGAGTTTTTGTTGGGGATGAAGTCTTGTCTTGTTAAAGGGGAGCGGCGGAGGGAGTTTCGTGTTGAGGGCTTAGGGTGTCTATGATTCAGAAGGACCTAATCAACTTAGGGGCTCAGTATCCTAGCCAAAAAAAGGTTAACCTTTTGAATTATGGTAGGATTATATAAACCCCAAAAGGTTAAAGGTTACCTACTCAGCTGCTAAGTTAAGATCGGAGATCGGCCGGCGCGGCGAGGGAGAATGACATGCTACAGGCCAAAGCAGACAAATAGCTTACCCTATATACGTGCCCTACACAGGACCCAACATCTGGAACTTTGCTCAGAATGATCTCTGCAAAACCCTAGACCCTCGACCGCCTAGAGAAGCACCTGCAGCCCGAACCTAATCCTAAACCTCAAGCCCCAAGGCCCTAAACCCCAAACCCAAGAGGCCCCAAACCTCAAACCCCAAGCCCGTAAACGACAAACCCAAAGGCCCCAAACCCAAAATGCCCCAAACCCCAGACCCCAAAAAACCCTAAACCCCAAACCCTAAACCCAAACTCAAAGCCCTGCACTCCAAAACTCCGGATCTCCCAAACATGCACGTTACCATGGCTTGGCTCCAGCCCGGTTTAGGGTTTAGGGTTTAGGGTTTAGGGGGTTTAGGGGTTTAGGGGTTAGGGTTTAGGGTTTAGGAGGCAGACTTGCCCGGCACTTCCGTGGGACGCATACTTGGAGGGTCGAGAGACTTAGTAGGGGGCTCCTTTAAAGGGGATTCTAAGGGTTCCTTTAAAGGGCTCTATAAGGGTACTATAGGGTTTAGGGTTCAGGGACTTAGTAAGTAGGTAGCAAGTAGACTTATAAGTACCCCAAAAAAACCCTAATTGGGGTTATGGTACTTATAAGTCCATAGAATAACCAGGTACTAAGTCTCCCGACCCTCCAAGTAAGACCAGAAGACGATGATGCCGGCGATGCCGGTGCCGAGGGCACAGCATGCACCCTGGTGCTGAGTTGCATTACTCCATGCGCCTTGGGCTCCGCGGTGGCGGGCCGGGCTTTCGGAGGCACGGGAGGCTTCTTTGCTTCCTGCAGCTGCATCTCTTTCATCATCTTTTGGATACCCACAGAACCACGAGCATAGAACACAGGCTCCTTCTTGCGCTCCTCCTCAGTAAGATCTTCGATCCCTTTGAAAACCTTCGTGGAAGCAGCATCCTCGGTTCCTGAGTGGCCCCTGTAGGGATCCTTAGAGGCTTCCTTAAAGGGATCTATAGAGGCTGAGGGTTTACTTGGAGGGTCGGGGGACTTAGTAAGTAGGTAGTAAGTAGACTTATAAGTACCCCAAAAGGGACCCTAATTGGGGTTATGGTACTTATAAGTCCCTAAAATAACCAGTTACTAAGTCCCCCGACCCTCCAAGTAGGGTTTAGGGTTTAGGGTTGAGGGTTTAGGGTTTTAGGGTTCCTTTATGGGCCTTGATTCAACAATAAGGTCAATTACACTTTTTCCTACTGTTAGGTTTTATTAAAGGGGCTCGACACGAAAAAGTGCAAAAGGGTATTGCTCAGGAACCTAGCATGCCACCCCGAAAACAATGAAAACCCTGCGCAACCACCCCGAAACCCCATCGTTTACGTTTGTCGGGCCTTCGAAAATCCTCAGGGGAAGATCGCTGTCGGAAGAACTACTGTTGAGGATACAAATCCTGCATTATCTTGAGGATCTTAAACTATGGGAGTTGTGGTATATTCCTTTTCAAGGGTAATGCAGGGTTTATATCATCCACCGCAATAATGGTATTCCGTTGCATCGACACTGTAATGTACTTTGATGTCCCCTCAGACGTAAAGCCTTGTAGGACTCTCGAAACCCTGCAAGCACCCACAGCTTGAGCCCTAAACCTCTTCAGTGCACTTCTAGACCTCTAACCACTGACACGCCCGAAAACCAAAAGCCCTAAAGTGGATTTAAGTTGCTGGGGAACTTATAGTTGCCACTATAAGGAAATCAAACTACTTACCATACGCCCCTCTTCTGGCACCTCAAACGAACCTGCTCAACAAAACCCTACCCGTAGTCTCCATTGTGGGTCCTCATTGGGGTGACCTTGTATGATCCCAGATCTAAACCTGGTTGAAGGAGAAACAGGAACTATAATGGATGCTTTCATTGCGGAGTTCTTGTTAAGGATTTCCATGTAAGTTACCAAAATGGGGAAGCTATAGAAAGTTATACGGTCTTTTTTCTATGGTAACCCAAACCCCAAAACTTAAACCTTGGGTCCCGAAAACGCTGAAAGGAACCCTTATAGATCCCTTAAAGGAACCCTTGTAGATCCCTTAAACTCCTTAGTATAGGTAAATCCCAAGCATGGCCCCTCCGTCTCCTCCCCGGGGTCGCTACGCAAAGACCGCAGCAGGCATCGTGCAGCTCTACAGAACCTGGGCTCGTCTTAAGGAGTTTAGTTCAAGTAGCCAAAACAGTGATCCACAAGGGTTCCTACTTGGCGGCCCAGGGGACTTAGTAAGTAGGTTATAAGTAGGGCTATAAGTACCCTAAATGGAGTTACCCCAATTAGAACCCTACTTATAAGCTACTTACTAGACTAAGTCCCCTGGGCCGCCAAGTAGGGGATCTTTTCGGGTTGGTTTAAGGGTTTCAGGAATTTCAGGTTAAAGCTCCTAGGAACCTTTCAGTGGACGACTTGGTCACTTCAGTAAGGGAAGTAAGTGCCTAAGACTATGAGTATCCCCTAAACGCGAAGGACTTGCCCCACAATTTGAGTGAGTTTGAGGCTTGAGGCTAGGGGTCTATTTGGAGGATCATGGGACTTAGCAAGTAAGGATGCAAGTAGTACCTTGATTGGGGTTATAAGTATCTACAAATTGTAATCCTAGTTGCTACATCGCGAAGGAGGAAGATAGAGATCGGGGTCTAGCGTCCAGACATGTCTGGACTCATGGGGTTAAAGGTTGAGGGTTTGGGAGTTCGGGGTCAAGCCCTGAACCGTCACGGGTCCAGGACTGGAGGGCTCAACAGCTAGAGTAGGAGGGTTTAGGGTTTAGGGTTTTAGCGTTAAAAAACGTTCGAACTTTCTAAGATAGGGCAAGCGCAGCAGATCAAGCAACTTGAAGTTCCCCGATTGGCTACCTCAGTAATTATAGAAAGAAACCTTATGGAGCCCTTCTAGAACCCTGACAGGACCCTCATAGATCCTTTTCAGCGCTCAGACAGCTTTTGTAAAAAGTTTATGGGACCCTCATGCAAACGTTGACAGGGCTTTAGCGTTTGGGTTTAGACACCCTGAAGAACCCCTCAAGACATCCTTGAGCCACGTGGCCCAGTTGTGCATAAGGCCGCTTCTGCGTGCCAGAGCAGCAGAGATTCCTTGATAAATCTATGGGTTCAGGGTTTAGGTGGTAAGAATCTATGGGTTCAGGGTTTAGGGGGCAAGGGTTTAGGGTTTCGGGGTGTGGGGTTTAGGGGTTTCGGGTTTAAGAAGTGGTTGTCTGAATCTTTTCCCTGGTTTCTAAACTCTATGCTGGGGCTATGCGGTCTTCTGGCCTTTTGCAGGGTGCCGCTGGCGTTGTGTACAAGGTTTAGAACGGCTCTCACAGGGTTTTGTAACGGTCCGAACAAGTGTCCTTGTTTGGGGTTCTGCTATTTGGACCCACTAAACAACCCTAAACCCTCACCCGGTAATTAGGCATGGACCCAGCGCTAGCCCTTATCGCCTGACACAGCCTGGGACTGATTGTTGATTGACAGGGGCGACCGAGAATTGCTGTTTTCCCCAAAGCCTACGCATGAAAAGACATTCGACTCTGGACGTACGAGAGCCGAAAGGACAGTCCGGACACCACACCCACATCTGCAACCACAATCACATTAAATCTGAACACCGCCGGCCCTGCACCCAAGTGTAGTCCTGGCTTGTATAATGTCAGGTCTCAGCGGTTCGAGAAGCGTAATTCAAGCACCCGCCGAGCTGTGTGTAAACTGTTTGTATAAAAAGCAGCTTGTGAATTGTTTGTGTAAGAAAATTGTCTTGGTGAATTGTTTTGTAAAAAGAAACAAGTCACAAGCACCTCTACTTACATGGCCACAGAAGACATGAGCCAGCTGGCTCTTAGGGCCACCTAACACAACACTTCAAGGAGCCAGCCAACCCTACTCCGAAACCCTAAACCCTAAACCCTACTCCGAAACCTGAAGCCCTAAACCCTAAAAGGAGCCCCCCAAAAGGGCCCTTAAATAGATCCCTTATGGTCCCTAATAGTGGGTACTAACGGTATATTAGAGGTGAGTTAGGGGGGTCTAGGAAACCCTACACCCTATATAAAACCCTAAACCAAACCCTAGGAGTGGCTACCAGAAATATGACTGCACTGCTGCTGTGAGCTCCTGGCTGCATCGTGGTGCTCATAAGTAAGACAATGCTCGGAGGCTTAGATGTTGAGGTGTTTCACTGGGAGGTTCAAGGATAGTCAAAAGCTAAGAGTTAGGTGGAGCTATAAGTAGGCTTACCAATCGCCCAATACTGGGGCCTTCCAACCCCACTTAGAATTACCCACCAACCTCCCAGCAGGAGTTTAGAGCTTTTGCTAGGTTCACCTTATCTGGGGAGCTGAACTCTCCTTCCCCAGAGCCTCCAATATCCCTTAATTAAAGAAATACCCTAGATTATGGTAGGATCCATTATATGACTTCAGGTATATCCCTTAATTAGGGGGATGTTGGACTCTCTGGGCACTTCGGGGGAATCTCCAACACTGCGTGCATAAGACCCATGCAATGCATCAAGTTAAAGGCCCTTGGTGAAAGGAACAGGTCTGTGTGGCTCAGCTATTTATACTATAGTAGTGGGCGCCCTGAAGAATGCATGACAAACCGTCGCAGGGAGCGGATCGAGTGAATCGACAACTCCTAGGGTTTAGGGTTTAGGGGCGAGGGCACGCGATAATATTTCTCAAGCTGATTGAGGGATCTCAAAAGCTTACTTGGAGGGTCGGGGGACTCAGTAACTGGTTATTTTAAGGACTTATAAGTACCATAACCCCAATTAGGGTCCCTTTTAGTGTACTTATAAGTCTACTTACTAACAACCACTTTTAGCCACAGCTAAGGTCGTCATAACCTTAGTCCCACGATACTCCAAGTAGGACCGAATCCGACCCCAAACCCTGAGCCCGAAACCAAAACCCTGGTAGGTTTTTTTTTTTGTTGCGGGCCCTTTTCCAACTGCATTACCAGAGGGAATACCTTACCAGGTGGAGCCTATGTTGGGGACCCTCTACCAGGGTTTAGGGTTTAGGGCTGTGCCCAGAAACTCCAATATCTCTGAAGTAAGGAGTAGACATTCAGTCATGTAAGGGATCCTGCTATAATTTCAGGTATACTCCTTACATGGAGGTTCATGGGTAGTTACAAGTAGGGCTTTAAGCCCCCAAATATGGGTTAATTGTAGTTACCGCCCCGCTACTTCTAAAGCCACTTATAACTGCACATGAACCTTCAAGTAACTAAGGGATATCGGAGTCTTTGGGTGGTTTAGGCCTTATCGGAACTAAATGCGGAGCCCCTTTTCCAAAACCTCGCATCTCTATCCGGGCGGCTTTCTCTTGTAGAGAACCTCCTCGCTTTGCCTTGGAAGGCATCTGCATACTGTTGATGATATACATCCTGCATGACCTTAAGGACCCCAAACTATGGGAATTATGGCATATTCCTTATAGTGGGTAATGCAGGAAAAATATCATCAACCGTAGTACAAGCTCGCGAAGCAGCAGGTTCACATGGGGTCCGTATCTGCAGCATCCGATTCTGGCAGGTCTACTTGGGACCCTGTGGGAAGGCTTCACGCAAGCTGTTCCTCGGCACAATGTAGATGTTGTGGCATATAAGTTGATTTTTTTGGAGTTGTGGGTTTAAGGCCAAGGCTCTAGGCGTAAGGGTTTAGAGCATTGGTCTTCAGGTTTAGGGCTTTCGGGTTTAGTGGATCATGGGACTTAGTAAGTAAGTTTATAAATACCTTCATTAAAAACTCAAGCTACCTTAATAAGGTAGCTTGAGTTTTTAATGAAGGTATTTATAAACTTACTTACTATTATGTAATAGTCGTAGTTACTCCGGACTAAAACACACAATATATGGCATTGCTGCATATCCGGGCTGAGCACACTTGACCCAAAACGGTTAACCTTCTCAATTCTGGTAGGATTATATGAACCTCAAAAAGTAAAAAAATACTTCATATAGGGGCCTAAGACATTCCTAATATTATCTTTTGGTGTTCTTCATTACAGTTACAGTGAAATTTACACCAAAGCACTACTCTAAATATGACGGCCCTTGTATTACTCAGCGACAAGCTGCAGTATCAGCGTTCTGCTTTGCCATCCCATGCAGGGGCACCAGATCAACCCGCAAAAGCCTCAGGGCCCAGGTCACACGTTTCGGCTTTAAGTCTTTAAGGTTTAGGGTTTAGGGCTAAGGGTTTGGGGTTTCAGGTGAGTTAAGGTTTTAAGGCTTCTTTTGTTTAGTTTCGGGGTTTAGGGTTAAGGGTTTGGGGTTTCAGGTTAAGGGTTGACAAGGTTTCGGACTTCAGGTTTAGGGTTTGGGGTCACTCTGAATGCAAACAGGGGCGGGTTAGCCCACATACGAAAACATAGCGTAATGAAGATTCTTACCCCCGCTCATACATACGTACGTATGTACGTACATACATACTCCTTTCCACACATACGTTACGAACAAACGAACATACATACACACGCATACATACAAGTATACAGAAACAATACTCGACCATATGGACCACATGTATATATGTATATACAGATACGTACATACATACATGCATGCATACAGAGAGTCTGACAGATAGGCAGACAGACAGACCGACAGACAGACGACACACAGACATAGTGGCTCACAATCCATCCATCCATGCATATACATATACAAAGACACATATATACACATATACATACAGATATGCATGCATACATGAATACATACTTAATGATGCATGCATGCATGCCAGCAGACCGACCCACACATAAACAGACATGTGCCGGGTGCATGCATTTTCAGGTGACAGGGTTTGAGCACGCTGACAGCCCAATGGCACACGAAGAACAGTCAGAGGTCCATGCATGTCGCTTGGGTTTCAGAGTTGTTGAAGCTGCGCTGCTCAGGTTCGAGTGAAACTTGAACAGGTTCGAGTGAGACTCGAACAGAACAGCCCAGTTTCTAATCCATCGTGCAAAGCCTTTGAGCTTCCCTAAACCCTGATCCGCTCTGTCCGGGCAGCTTTCGATGTAGTTCGTGACATCGTACCTTGGCGCGCTACTTGGAGGGTCGGGGGACTTAGTAACTGGTTATTTTAGGGACTTACAAGTACCATAACCCCAATTAGGGTCCCTTAAGTCTACTTACTATCTACTTACTAAGTCCCTGAACCCTAAACCCTAAACCCCAAAGGGACGAGGAGGGACCCTTAATGGGTTACTTGGAGTTACTTACAGCGAACTCCGAGAGTTGGAATATGGTTTCATGGTAGGATACCCTATGATTTACCATAGAAGGGCTAGGATAATCAGATTCCAACTTTCTGGCTTTTACCTTACGGTAGGTATAAGGGTCCCTGTAAGGGTAAGGGCCACTTTCAGGGCTTCTGTAGGGACCCGAAGTCGTCTTCCATAGGTATAATCAAAAGGGAAAAGGAGGGACCCTGAATGGGGACCCCGACCCTATAATGGGCTATATAATGGTTATATAATAGCTGTATGAAGGGTATATACCGAGGGGTCCTTATTAAGGGTCCCTCCTTGTTACCCTGGGAAAATCAAGGACTCGAAAACCTTTGAGCTAAGGAACATACCGCAAAGGATCTGAAGAAACCTCTCAAAAAAGAGTCATATGGATAGTTGTCAAAATGATCGCACTTTTTGGGTAGCCTTAATATTAGGTGCCGTACTATAATAAGGACCCAAAAAGGGACCACAATTTTGACAACCACCCGTGCAATATTCCCAATATTCCATAACTGAGGGTATTTGGAGTCTCTGGGAACCAAACATCAAAGCAAGCACTCCGTTTCTCACAAATCAGGTACCAAAATCCATGTAACGCACCATCCGAAGCCTACGAGGCTCATGGTGGAACCTCTGTCATACAAGTCTTCCCTGAAGCAAGCTATAGTACTGCCGAAATATGGGGGCCTCAATAATTACCTATTATTTTGGGGGCTCCTTATTATAATTATAGTATCCTGGGCCCAAAACCCAAACTAGTAAGGCCCCTCTACTTGCCAGTCTCCTCAATCAAATTGTTCCTCGAAAGAGGGCACACCGCTGATTTCCGTACACGGGTTGTCCCATGTAGGCCACGCAAAAGGGTTCACGGTTAGGGTTTAGGGGTTAGGGTTGGGCCTTGGGGCGGATCTTGTACCAAAGCTCCAATTAAGGAGCAAAAGAGGCGGTATTCAGAATTATTCAAACCCCGCCAGAAAGAATTTGAGCGATAGAGTCCCTGAGCGGAGGATTTGCGATGCAGGCTCGGGCTGCGGCGTTTAACTGGACTTTGAAGTAACAAGGGAGAAATAAGTACAGACTTTCATATCATAAAAGTTCCTTTAAGGAGCAGGTACCCAAAAAAGTATTCAAGTATGGTACTCCAAACCCAGAGGTCGGGGTCTGCTTGTCACAAGTGAACGACCTCTACGAAGGAACTCCTGGGCCAAAGCCCTGTTGCCCCAAACCTTAGACCCGACCCTGCAAACCAAACCTGGGTAGTTCTCCAAACTATGGCCCCTTATTTGGGCACCCTAAATATTAGGTGCCGAATTATAAATAAGGACCCGCGAAAGGGATTCTAATATTGACAACCATTCTCACCGCAAGCCCAACACCAACGCTCTACATCCAACCGGAAATCTGTAAAACAAACCGAATTCATGACCACTGCGGTTTAGGGTGTAGGGAACCCTAAACCCTAAACCCTAAACCCTACACTGTAGGGTTTAGGGTTTAGGGTTTAGGGCGGAAGCCAAGGTGCTTTTTCTCCGGGAAGCGCTGCATCAAATTCTCCATGTCTCTTCAGGCTCTCCTCGGGAGTTTGTTTCAACAGCCTTAAACCCAAAACCCTTTAAAGGAACCCTTAAAGGAACCCTACTTGGAGGGCCGGGGGACGTACTAACTGCTTATTCTAGGGACTTATACGTACTATAACCCCCAATTAGGGTCCCTTAGAAGGATACTTATAAGTCTACATACCACCTACTTACTAAGTCCTCCAGTTTGTTTCAGCCTTGTCCTTTTAGAAATAATAGACAGGGCCCTATACCTATATCCCTTAGTAGGAATTATTTAAGAAGGTCTACTAGCCGGTCTGTTTATTCTTTTGGGGAAACCATGAAAAAGGACAAGGCCGGTTTGTTTCAGGGATGCACGATGTGGATTTCGGGTTGTGGGCTCATGCCCTCGGGTGAATTGTGCTCCGAGGACACATCATCTGATATTGCCTCATTAATACACATCCCAAGTTTCTAGGGTTCACCTCGGCCTTAAACCCAAAATCCCACATCCTAAACCCCAAACCACCCTAAACCCTAAATCCCACAACAACAAATTCTAAATCCTAAGCCCTGAATCCTAAACCCTAAACAACCCTAAACCCCATAGATCCATCCTAAACACTACACCCGGAATAAGGCTCTAACTCGTAACACCCGAACCCCCGAGCAATCCGAAAATCCTAACTCCCAAACCCTACACCGTAACGTCGACGAGAGGGGTGCTGACAGGGTTAGACCTTGGCAGAAGGCGGTCTTTGCCTTTCAAAGTTCTTGGTTTAAGTTGGGAGTTTCCGAAAATAGGGGACCTGAGTATAACCCTAAATAGTAGAATCCTCATAATATTATAAGGACCCCACAATAAGGTACCCCTAATTTCGGAAACTCCCAGTTAGTACCATGAGAAACCCCTTTTGCTACTGGACTCAAGTCTAGCCAGTCTACGACTCGCAATCGTCTTGACCATGACCAACCCTACACCCGAAACCCCTATCTCCTAGCTCCTATAGGGTCTCAGAAATACTAATATAGGGGCTTAACTAATTACCACTACTATTTCGGGGGTTCCTTATTGTAACTGCAGTATAATGGGCCCCCAAAAAACCCTGTTCTAATTATTAAGGCCCCTACTATAGAACCCTATTATAGATCCCTTATAGAACCCTTCTTAAGGATCACCCAAAACCCTATTCTAATACTTTTGGACCCTGTACTACTACTTTTTCTGTTAGGACCCTTAGCGTAAGGTTCCCAGAGACTCCAATATCCCTTAAAGGAATATTCCTTAAATCATATATTAGGGATCCTACGGAAATTGGAGTCTCTGGGTTGAAGGCGAAGGGCTTCTGGTCCTAAAAACGCAACACCTGAACTTTAAACCTTCCCAGAGAGCCCCATACCCCTTAATTAAGGAATATAGCTTAAATCACAATATGACGCCCTATATAATTTAAGCCATATTCCTTAATTAAGGGGTATTGGGCTCTCTGGGTTCCCCCTACTGCACTTAGAACCCTAGCACAAATTGCAATCCTAGCTGTTTCTTCGGGACCTAGGGACTAAAGGAAAAACTATTAACACACAAAAAATCTAAGTACCCCTAAGTTCCTGGGGATCCAAGAACCCATTGTTTTCAGTTTTCAGGGTTAGACCCCATAATTAAAGGGATCATAGCCTACCACTCCGTGGGTGTCGAAATTTTGGGGATACAGATTACCCAGAGAGAACAATACCCCTCAATTAAGGAATATGGCTTAAATTATATAGGGCTTCATATGATGATTTAAGCTATATTCCTGAATTCAGGGGTATTGGGCTCTCTGGGTAAACCTACACCCCAATTTAGAGCCCTATAAAACTAGAAGACAATTGGCCCGAAAGCATCATCAGCGAAGATTGTGGGGCTATGTGATAGATCCAGTGTATAGGATCGTAAAGTCACAGAGTCAAGAGTCATAGAGTCCATGAGTCATGAGTCATAAAGTCATAGAGTTACAGTGAGATAGCGTCATAGAGTCATAGTGAGATAGAGTCACAGAGTCATGGAGTCATCTATGTACCATGCACTTGACTCGATGTAGTTCACTCTATGCTCTATGTGTGGGAACGCTTAATCGAGATCCCCATAGCGTGAGGGCTCATAGCCTGACCTGGACCTCGAGATGCAGATACAGTCAAGAGTCATAGAGTCCATGAGTCATGAGTCATAAAGTCATAGAGTTACAGTGAGATAGCGTCATAGAGTCATAGTGAGATAGAGTCACAGAGTCATGGAGTCATCTATGTACCATGCACCAAAATGTGTAACTTCACCTCGCGCTCGAACACTCGACAACGCCAATCTGTGTGAAGGGTTGCAAAATTCATCTCAATGCTCATCAAAAAATGCAACTTTACCTCGCGTTCGAACACTCGACCACGCCAATCCCTGTGAGGGGTTGCAAAATTCATCTCAATGCTCATCAAAAATTGCAACTTTACCTCGCGTTCGAACACTCCACCACGCCAATCCCTGTGAAGGGTTGCAAAATTCAGCTCAATGCACATCAAAAAATGCAACTTTACCTCGCGTTCGAACACCCGACCACGCCAATCCCTGTGAAGGGTTGCAAAATTCATTTCAATGCACATAAAATAATCCATCTCAATGCTCGTCAAAAAATGCAACTTTACCTCGCGTTCGAACACCCGACCACGCCAATCCCTGTGAAGGGTTGCAAAATGCCAATCCCTGTGAAGGGTTGCAAAAAAAAATGAACTGCACCCAAACCCTGTGAAGGGTTGCGCGGCGCCCGCAAAATGTGTAACTTTACCTCGCGTTTGAACACCCGAGGAGGCGAATCCCTGTGAAGGGTTCACGGCGCCCGAAAAATGTGTAACTTTACCTCGCGTTTGAACGCCCGAGGCAGCGAATCCCTGTGAAGGGTTCACCCGGGCGCCTAAAATGTGTAACTTTACCTCGCGTTTCAACGCCCGAGGCAGCGAATCCCTGTGAAGGGTTCACCCGGGCGCCTAAAATGTGTAACTTTACCTCGCGTTTGAACGCCCGAGGAGGCGAATCCCTGTGAAGGGTTGCGCCGGGCGCCTATTAAGTTAAAAAATGTGTAACTTTACCTAGCGTTTGGGCGCTCGCCTATGCCAATCCCTGGGAAGGGTTGCGCCGGGCGCCTAAAATGTGTAACTTTACCTCGCGTTTGAACGCCCGAGGAGGCGAATCCCTGGGAAGGGTTGCCATTGCATTCCCGATGGACGACAACGGTGCCACCCCCTGGCTTTAAAAGAGAGAATTAGATACCGAGATGTAGAGAGTAAGTCATAGAGGCATAGAGTCAAGTAAGTAAGTAAGTAAGTAAGTAAGTAAGTAAGTAGGTAAGTAAGTAAGTAACTAAGCAAGTCAAGTAAGTAAGTATAAGTAAGTATAAGTAAGTATAAGTAAGTATAGAGATAGCATAACATAGAGTCCAGTGTCAAGTGTCAAGTAAGTTAGTAAGTAGATTGAAGTAAGTAAGTAAGTAAGTCGTAAGCATAACATAGAGTCAAGTATCAAGTGTAGAGTCAAGTATCATAGAGTCAAGTGTCAAGTGTAGAGAGTCAGTCATAGAGGTCAAGTAAGTAAGTAAGTATCAAGTGTAGAGTCAAGTATCAAGTGTAGAGTAAAGTATGGAGTCAAGTAAGTTGATTCTATGTCTGTCATCTATGTACTCAGCTGCGGCGTTCCACACGGAAGAACCCTTCGCGATGCTTTCGGGAACTTAAAGCGTGCGCTGAAACTCCCCACCCAGACAGCCCAATACCCCTTAATTCAGGAATATGCCTTAAAATATGGGTGCCTTAATACGGTGGTTTGAGATGCCTTCCTTTGTTAAGGGGTACTGGGCTCCCTGCCGGCGCCGCAGCTTTGACGACGTTGAAGGCAGCAGAACAGGTCCCCGGTAATGCTTTGAACAAGTGGCTCTGCATGAATTCGGCTTCGAAGGCTGCAAGCTTGTAGGGCTTGGGGCTGCGAGGATTCCGTCTGCATGGGTATGGATGATGCATGCATAGTTCTCGCAGGATTTAGGATTGTTAGGGTTCTGGGTTTCGGGCTTTACTATGTCGGGTTTTCACAGAGTTCAACTGGGGGGGGACGTTCTTGCCACTCCCGGAAGCGTGAACGACGATGCAACCCAATCCTTCATCCCAAACCCTCACGACAACCATTCCTAAACCTAAGCCCTACCTTCACCCTGAACCCGAAACCAAACAAGCTGCCGTATTGAGGACATATACAGAGAAGTCCTAACAAGGAACCCTAAAGAGGTCGGCTATGTGGGGTCCGGGTGTGCCCCCCTTCCTAGGTTTAGAATTTAGGGAATAGGTTGTGTTTAGGCTTTACGGTTTGTTTAGGCTCTAGGGTTTGTTGAGGCTTTGGGGTATAGGGCTTTAGGATTTTGAGATTTATGGTTTAGGGCATCAGGGTTTTATGATGCTGCATCCCTACTACATCGGAAGCCCGACACCCAGAAATTATGTAGATCCCGAAGAGCTCAATGGTAGCAACTGGTGCAGCGACAAGACTTGTCAATCACTGAATGCTCTGCTACGGGCATGGCACTCATCATCTCCTTCTTTCACCATGTTGATACTGATTCTGATGGTTCAACTTCCTCGCAGTGCTATCAGCCTGTGTAACTTTATAAAACCTGCACCCCTACTGTAAGCTTCGTCGAGGAACACTGTTAATTCGATGACCGTCATCCTCAGCACGGCGGTTGTGCACAGCATCCACTCAACTCCTGCTCCTAGTCTTAGTTGCTGACTTCATAAGCCCCAAAACGTCTATATTCTTGGTTTCATAGTGGGTAATACTATCCCAGAAAGTGTAAAGTGTACTTGGAGGTTCATGGGTAAATATAAGTAGGGTTATAAGTCCCCTAATAGGGGTTATAAGCATAGTTACCCTACATATAACCCAACGTAGAACTACCCATGAACCTCCAAGTTGGCCCTAGACCCTACAGTCTTATAGAATCCCTATAG